TCAAGTCTTTTACCAAGTATGCAGATGCTAGAAAATCTTACAATCATGAAATATACTATGTTTCATATTTGTCATGTTCAGAACTTGTTTTGTGTTCCATGGGAAAGGTAATTTCAGTCCCCACACCTACACCAGCTTATACTGGCTTACAGTGTTCCACTCTCAGAGGTACAATGAAAAACATCTGTGGGAGGAAGGGTATAAAGGTGGTGGCAATATCACAGATTGTTTATATTCATGAAGGAAACTTCAATCCCTTCAACTGTAGGCTTATTATCCAGTTATTAATATTATTGTTTAGAAACTACTATGAAATTGTTACACTTTAAGGTTACTTACAAATGGCCTTCAGAACACATGTATATGTACTGAATAATGTATTTAAAAGAAATACTTGAGTATTTCATGAACAGCTTACGTATATGCAAGATTACATATTAGGAGGTAAACAGCAATTGTACCATTTCCCAAAGGGATCTAAATTCTGCTGCATGGAAGGCATTGAAAATAATTCTTAACAAGGTCTCTACCTTACATGGTTTCTTGACAAGGTCTCTACCTTACATGGAAATGATGCTTTATAACAGTGTTGTAAATAAAACAAATGTCATCAGTTTAGTAATGTTATTCTTTCACGTATTGCTTTTTAAAAATGTTGCTCAAAGCTTATGCATGTGTTATTAAGCCCCTTTATTAGTACACTACTAGCCTTGATATAAAGTCTTACCAAATTGAATGTTATGTAGTTACAAAATTGAGAAATTGAAATGTGTGAACACAAACAGGCTCCGTGCAGTTTAAAGCATCAAATAAAGCACTAAGAATAATGGAAGCAGAGTCTTTTTCTGACACATCACACAACTAGGATAGAAAAGAGGTAACACTTTGTATTCTGTACTTCTACTGTCTATACCCCAGGCTGTTCAACAAGTATGTATTTGTCTAGTCACTGTATAGTTAGCATATTGAGAGATACTGGGTCTAATTTGTACTTCAATAGACCAGAGGAGTATAAACAGAGCGATGGGCTTGAGGCCCCTCCCTAACTGCACTGGCCTTTCCACATGCACTAAGTGAAAGCTGCACTAATTTGTTTTGATTAATCGTTTGATTAAGCGCAAACACACAGACCATTGTTTAAACGCTGCACAGTGAGGCACACACATTGTCCACTTGCACATTTACAGACACAGGAAAGCTCTAATTAATCAGGCAAGGAAGTAACAGCACCAACCGAGACGTTCTTTTAGTCTTCAGACCACAATAGCATGGTCTGAGTCTACAGACTGACCTGTACAGAAGGTTATGATATGTTATTACTGATACGAGTGTCTTCCATAGCTATTATTCCCAACAAACCTTCTTGAGAACGTGAGTGATTTCACCAGAAAAGAAGATCAAAGTTTTACTGGGAAATAAATAATAGGTAACACAAAACCTCTATTATTCACACTCCAGAATGGAGAAGATCAGAGGAAATCAGAGGTTAATATGAAAGGTTAACATACATACAGTCTCCTTTGAAACTACTGGAACAGCAAGGCCAATTATTTTGTTATTGCTATACACTGAAGACATTTGGTTTTGACATCAAAAGATTAATGAGATGATAGATCAGAATTTCAGCTTTTATTTATTGATATTTACATCTGGATATGTTAAACGACTTAGAACATGGCACCTTTTGTTTGAACCCATTTTTCAAGTGAGCAAAAATATTGGAACATGCAACTGATGGGTGGTTCTTATGTCTGTTACACTGATTGTTTACAAATTCACTGTTCTGAATGTCTGCTTTGATTCGTTCTCTGGGTTATGACTGTGAAGACTTTATTTCTTGTAAACCCCTTAAATGGCCAGGGCCCAAAGTTTTATTACACACTTCTAAGAACAGCTCAACCAGTTTGCACTGAAGTCCCTGTAATTACTGAATAATTAGCCTTAATCTGTAACATTTTGAAGCTGAGAAAAGAGGGAAAATTGCACAACCAGAGCCATTGCACAAGCCTAGCCAATACATCAACTTATTAAATCCTGAAGAAGACACCATTGATGTACTAACAACCACATATGAAACAGGTTGGCCAAGAGAAACAACAGCAGTTAATTGTGAGAGCTGTAAAAACAAGCAGTCAATGATGTCACTAAGAACCAGTGAAAGTACTGATGAAGGTGTCACAATCCCACGCTCAAAGAAAACTTTGAAAGTAGAAATACAGCAGCCATACCTCAAGATGCAAACCACTTACCACCAGTAAGAACTAGAAAGGCCAAAGTGTGGGGAAAAAATAATCTGCTCATGATCTAAAACATATGAGCTAATGAGTCAAGCATGGTGGACGTAGTGCCATGGCTTGGGCTTGCATGGCTGCTTCTGGAATGGGCTCACTGATCTTTTTTGATGATGAGAGTTTACAGAGCAATGCATCCAGCAAGACCGGGACTTCATCATGCAGCAAGACAATGACTCAAAACACATTGCCAACACAACAAAGGACTTTATCAGGGGAAATAAGTGGAAGGTTTCATACTGGCAAAGTCAACCACCTGACATTAACCCAACTGAGTATTTTCACCTCCTGAAGAGGAGACTGAAAGGAGAAACTGTAACTCCTGGGAAAGCATTACAAAAGAAGAATGCAACAGTCTGGTGATGTCAATGGGTTGGCAGCTTCATTAAGTTGTTGAAAGCAAGGGACATGCAACCAAATATTTAAGTGTTATCTAGTTTAATTTACTGTTCCTATACTTTTGCTCACCTGAAAATTGGGTGTTCTGCCACCAGTGTGCTTTGTTCTAAGTTCTTTTTCATATCTAGATAAAAGCTGAAATTCATCAAAACGTCTAATTCACGTTTTGATCTTAAAACCAAACATCTTCAGCACATAGCAAAAACAAAAATACTTGCTGTACCTCCAATACTTCTGGGGGAGACAGTTTATAAAACTCCCGACGCATTTCAAGTGGAGAATTGCAGATGTTGGTTTTTGGTTGCATCTCTAAGCCAACAGGCTATTTTTGGATGACCTGCTGTCATTAAACATCTATCAATAGTAAGGACCTGGAGTTTGCTAGGTATCACTGGAATCAGATTCTATGGTCAGATGATCACATGCTGTTGGATGTATAATTCAAAGTGCTTCTCAAGATCCATCCAAAAATGGTCTTCTCACCCAAAACACACTGAAATTCTGAGAGATTAGTTGAAGAAGAAAGTTTATGCAAGAACACCAAGACCTCTGAAAGCTCCAGAGATACTCTACATGAAAGAACATTTGAAGATCTCCTTCTGTGTTCTCCCATATCATCCAGCATTGCAAGAGAAGATTCTGAGTTGTTGGGAGAGCACTACACATGTATTACTATGAAAAACTCTGGTTAAGTTCGATTTTCTTCCCTCTGAAAAATGGTATCAAAATAAGCTAATTTAATTATATAAATAGTCTGGTTATGAAAATGTTTGGTTAAAAAATTAATTGAATTTTATCAGCAACTTTGTTCATATTAATTTCAAATAGTCAATAATTCTGGAGGATACTGTATATTGAAGAGAAATTAGTGTCCATCAAAGATTCACAGCTCTTTTTACTATAAAGCTCATGATTACGTAGGCCGCCATATCACTTCTTACTGTTGTCATCAGAACCAAAATGATGGTTAGGTGTATGTGACTTACACAGACGATGAAAGAAATACATGAAAAACATGACACACTCTGACTCTTGTTAAGGGAACATTTTATTGTTTTTCTTGGAAAAAAACACATTTCTTCAAGTGTTCACAGTGATTTAAAACTACCAAGCTGTTGTTTTGCTCATGTTTTTTTGTCTTCTAACATAATATTTGGCACAAAAATTGCCTTCTGTGGGGCACGGATCTTCATCCAGGTCTAAATTCATTATGAATTTTTTAAATAAAACAGTCCAAGAACATCAAATTCTCAGATTATGAATAAAAATCATTTATTTTAACATATTCACTGAAGGAATGCTTGCCAGGAAATCTTGATAGCTGGTATGCAGGCTACAGTAGCTTCAATGTTCCTCTTACTGAGGGTGGCTGGGTGGGTGCGGGCTGGCACGTGGGCATATATAATGGTCAAACAAATGCGGAGCTGTAAAATAGTCATGGCAAAGTTACAAAATTTCACCTATCATGCATTCTGATTCTCATAAGGTCTCATCCATAAACAATAGCAGCACACACTTCCCAGTTGAATAATAATAATACATTAGCATGTTAGAACACTGTCACTGGTACCTTCAGGAAAGTTAAGGAACCTAATTGTACCGCATTCCATTGAAAATATACTTTTAGGTTGCGTTGACTCCACATAAACCATGTCTTTTTATTTTGTTTTCCTATTTTAGGTGACGAAAAGGTACACATGCCCCTTTTCCCTGGGAAAGTGAAGCAGTCTACCTTTAAAACTCATTTAATGTACATAGATGGACCTTAAGGCTACTGTCTTGGCTTTGAGGGTACATTTACACTGTCTCCTCATGAACAAAACTGTACAGTACCCTTTTTTCTTCACAGTGTAGCATTATAGAATTACAGTGTATTATTAATAGCGAGATTGCTTTACAAGCTCTGAGAACTGGAAAAAGTTTTCTCTCTTTTTCTGAAGGAAAACACTGGATTATTCCTTTAATCAGAAGTGAAATCAAAGGCCAAACGCTCTGACTGTTAACTCCTATGCAAGAGCTGCGGTGCTGATCTAATAAGCCTCTTCAGTAGCAGAGCTGTGACTGCGTGTCCTCCTCTGGCAGGTGATAATAGCAGCTCTGCTCTCTCTGCAGGGTGAAGGGGGGCTCCTTCTGCCCCCCCCTTCACCTCGCGTGCTATTCCCCTACAGCCCCCTCACACAGGTGCCCCGATCAGCACCAAACCCATCCCTCCCTCACTCACAGCGCGAGCAGCTCCGCTCAGAGAAGTTGCTGCGCTCTGGCTCTGGCGACTGCGCTGCGATGCGCGCTGTGGGTTTTTCGAGGACGCGCGTAAAGGCGCGTTAATGCGCTTACCGGGCACGTCACGCGCCACGGACGGGCGAAGGAGCGAAGGAGTGAAGGGACGGAGGAGTGCAGGAACGATGGCAGAGGAGAAGCTCTCCCCTGCGGGGACACACAGCGATGCAGAGCCATGGCGCTGCTGCTGAAGAACTGACCGCTGCTCTGCCACAGCGATGCCGCGCAACCTCACCTCTCCCACACACACCAGCAGCAGCAGCAGCAGCACCGAGTACAACTTCCCCGCGCTCATTTTCGGAGTCCTGCTGATCGTCGTGATCATCTGCGGAAACGTGCTCGTGTGCCTGAGCGTGTACGCCGAGAAAGCGCTCAAAACCACCACCAACTACTTCATAGTGAGTCTGGCTGTTGCAGACCTGCTGCTGGCTGTGCTGGTGCTGCCCCTCTTCGTGTACGCAGAGGTAAGAACTTGGGGTTTGTTCAGTCGATGAATCTACTGTACTCCTACACTTCTGTTCAACCTGTCTCAGAGCTTTTACAGCTGCTTTGCTCAGTGTTGCCCAGCTCCAGTCCTGAACCCCTCAGCCAGCCCTGCTCAGGGTAGAGTTTTATCTGTTCTAAATTCAGCTCAAGGCCCTAATGATATGACTGTGAAGTGCAGGCAGACTACAAGACTAGAACTACACTGGCCTAGAAGATGATGGCATACTGTATTCTACTGTATTCATACTGTATTCTAGTGCATTTCGCATCAGAATGTATGTCTCAGCTCTCACCAAATCTGAACCACACTCTAAACTGCACTGTAGGTGTAGGTTTTGCCTTGAGGTTAAGTTTAGGGTTAGGGTTAGGATTAGGGATACATTTAATAGAATCTTTCACACTCAACTTGAAGTTCAGTTGCATTTAATAGATATTTATTTGAATGTTACTTAAAGATAGACTGAGCATCTACAGTGGACCATCCAAATAAAGTGTGACCAGGCTATAACTGAAGAGTTTCATTCCAAAATGTTGTAACAATTTTGGATATAAGAAGCTTCTGAAAAGAATAACATCTGCTGTTTAATGGAAAACACATTTTTGTTTCTCTAATAAAGGTGGTATTAATCATAATGTAGCACTGATGTTTCTTGTATGTATAAAGATAACTCACAATAATGTATATCATAAAAAAAACAATTCTTGGAAGTAGTCTGTAATGCATTTGTGAATGAAAACCTTCAACTGTACCATATTCCTTTGTTGCATTGATTTAGTTATGAAAAGGTACAAATAAGCCCCTCTCCTGTTGGGAAAGTGAGTGTGATGTACCTTTTAAACTCATTTGTGTTACACAGTTGGACCGTCAGGACTATGTTGTACCTTTGAGGGTACAATTTAATTACATTATTTACATTTATTTACAATTACAATGTCATTACATTTACATTGTTAGTAGTTCTCCATCAATAACTGAATGCCTGGTGAAATACATACCTATTTGTGCCCAAATTGCCCCCCTTTTAAGCACATTCATGTACCCATTTGACTACCCACTTAATTACTCTTGTAGACATTTTGAATATTAATTTCTCGAATTTTATAAAACTCCATACAGATTCAACATTTGATGTACCCACAAAGAGGTTCAACCTTTATTTCCCCAAATCTATAGACATCCTTTATACAATTGTATTCTTTCAGGGGTGAATCTGTACTCATTCACTGTACTAGATTTTTGTACAAGATAAAAGATGGGCACAAAACCGTGGCAACTTCGGTTGCCAGTGGGCTTTAAAAAGACATCAACACTGAGGTGAATATGTCAGTGTGTTCTAACTCTAACCTGTAGCCCACCTGCACAGCTTCATGTTTTCTCAAGGACTTGACCATCAGCGATGATATGACCCAGGTGCAGGGAAAACATGAAAACAATGCGGGGGACACTGATTTAGACTGTTATTTAAGTCTACTGGAAAATACTGAGGTCACTATGCTGACAGGGAATTGACCAACAAAATATGACAAGTTGAGCTTTAATCTGAAAATTGTTTGTTTAGCCTTTCGCTAACTTGCTTTCAGTGTATCACTTTGACTTGTAATGACAACAGACACTTCTGGATACTTTTATAGACTGTAACTCAGCTCATAAATGAATTGTAGGAGTGTGTTGGCTTGGCCTGTGACACGGCTCCACCTCCTGCAGAGTGTCTGTGTGTGCCTGTCACCTCCTGCCCCTTTCCCACCCCATCACAACACACAATAGACTTTGTCTCCAGCACCACAGGGCCCGAGAACAGAAACAGAACACTACTGCAACAATAGCTAACAGCCACTGACAGGACATTCCATTCCCAAAGAGGAGGATCATCAAGACCTTGGACCTTGTATTATTCCACTCTGTCCTTCTCTAGCCAATGGAAATATGAGAAAGTGGAAAGGAGGAGGCTTACAGTGCCTGGTAACTATTTTGACGACACTATCATTGAGTAGTCCAGCAGTGATTCCTCATTATCATACTCCACATCTCGTTGCCAAGGGCTCATGCTTTCCACTTGTAGGGCAAATATGGGTTATTGGCATGAGAGAGGAGCCATTACTAAAAACCAATTAAGAGTCTCTCCACTCCTCAGGCCTCATCATTAAAATGCCATTAAACCCTCTTCTCAGAGTTCTCTATTTTTTACCCCCTTCCCATTCTTCCTTTTTAGATACTGAGAAGCGTTATCAGACCCAAAAATTACCCACTGACTCGAGAGCCTTGGAGTGTGCGTCAGGTCCGCTTGCTGTGACCATGCAAAGTAGCTAATAAAGCTCTTAAGATTTCAAAACATGGCACATCTGCTGCTGTGCAAGCAGGGGAGCTGGGAAAGTGAATGAGAGGAAAAAAGGGACAAGGATGGAGTGAGAAATGAAGCAAGAGACAAATGATAGACAGAAACACATGTATGTGATTCCTCTTTGTTGCAGTTCCAGGATGGAGTCTGGTCACTGAACATGACTATCTGCGATGGCCTGATGACCATGGACGTGATGCTGTGCACTGCCTCTATATTCAACCTCTGCGCCATCAGCATCGACAGGTTGGTTTGAGAGTGAGAACTTCTATGTCCCAAGTGACTGTACTGCTCAGTAAGGCTGCAAAGTGAGAGATAAAAAAAGAATGAAACAGAGTGAGAGAAAAACAGCACCAGAGAAACAAAGAGTGGGTGAGAGACAGTCAGTGTTTTCAGAAATTACAAAAGAGACAGTTTAGTCTGCAGAGGTTACCTTTGGATTCCTCATTTACAAACTATCCTGATGTAGGATGGCTGAATGACTTCTGTCTTTGTACGATGTGCAGCTCTGGCACTGAGCACACGGGACATCAGTAAAAGAATACAGCCAAAGATGGTGTTCAAGGGGGGAATAAAGTAGTAAAAAGAGGTCTCCTCATGCATCGGTCTCTCTAATTAGGCTTAGTTAGTGAGCAATGAGAGGCTATCATTGGGAGATTGTGATTTCAATCCCTGGTAATGCCACAGCCATCCATGGCTGGGAGTCCAAGAGAGCCTAACTGGCCTCACTCTCTCTCAGTGGGTAGGATGGCCGTTCTTCTCCTCTATCACTTAGCATGATGTGGTCGTCTGTTAGCAAACGTAACAGAATTGTTAGTTGGTCTTCTCTTCCAAGCGCACTGAGCTGTCCAATAACGTTGTATTAGCGCCAGTTTGAAAAGATGCAGTGGTGCTTCGCACAACTCAGAGGAAGCTCAGGCTAGCCCTCGCCTTCCTAGCACTGGTAGTATAGTGTGATTGGGGGAGAGATAGACTAAATCGGGGAGAAAAGTGGGAGAAACAAGGCAAAAGGGGGGTGGGGGGAGGAATGAGAACACCCTGTTGTGACTTTTGGTTTTGCTAATCATATTCATTTCCATCAAAATATATTTAATCAATGTTATTGAATAAAAATACATGCATAGTTCAAGCAGGGGACCTCTAAAACAGGCAGGAATTGCATTTTATAGTTACAGTCAAAAAGAGTAAAAATGCTACCACATACCACATTCTATTCTTGCCAGGAGTTAAGGGAAGTCTTGCTTGAGTTAAATAATACTAGTTCATGTTGTTAACATGTTTTAAAGGCTTAAAACAAGGTTAGTCTATATAGTTATTTTTGGCTTGTTTTATGTTCACATATTTTAGTAGTGGGTTTCTGTTGTGTATTTGAGCTTAATAGATGTTCAGAACTGACATCATGTTTGACAATCATATCAGTCAGAAATGCAGTGTTTGACTAAAACTGTATAAATCTTAATTTTTCTTGACTGATTAAAGCTGTATTTGCATAGGTTGGTGATCAGAATTTTTAGCCCATAAAAATCACTATCAGTATCAATGATAAAGGTTTCATTTCGGTCAAGCTCTAGTGTGAACAGACAGGACAAGAGATGGCCAACTTCCCAGATGTCTGGACAGGAACTGCTGTCAATAACATCTGTGTTTTCCTTGCTGCAGGTTCATCGCGGTGTCTGTCCCACTGAACTACAACCGCAAGCATGTGGACCATCGGCAGATTGTCCTGCTGTCAGCCACGTGGATCCTGGCACTGGCCGTGGCTTCACCTGTGCTGTTCGGCATCAATGACGTGCCAAACCGGGACCACAGAGAATGCAAGCTGGAAGACAACAACTACATCGTCTACTCCTCGGTATGTTCCTTCTTCGTGCCCTGCCCCATTATGCTGATGCTCTACTGCGGAATATTCAGGGGCCTCAGAAATTGGGAGGAGGCGAGGAAAGCCAAGCTGAAGAGCGGCATGCAGGCCTGTCAGAAGCTTCAGGAGGCCGCAGCATCTCTACCGCCACTGGCTTCTCTACCGCCCCCACTGCCCCCCATCATAGAAAAAGACTTCTCAGACATGAACCTGGAGGAACTGGACCAAGACCCAGACCCAATCGACCATTATCCCACAGAATGTAAGGACGGGCCTGTGAATTCACTGTCCTACCCTGATGGAGCTTACCACCAGGACCAGAATCAGAACCAGAAGAGGAAGAGGGCGAAGATTAATGGGAGGGAGAGGAAGGCCATGAGGGTTCTTCCTGTCGTAGTGGGTGAGTGTGTTAAAACTTATCTCTACATGAGTGATTTTAGTGCCTGTGACATGATCATCAAGTGTGTGGTATCTGGCCAAAAATGAACTGATTAAAAAGCCTACTAAAAACAGTTATAATTTATTTTTCAAACAAGATATTTTTGTTACTATGACTTTATGACTGGTATATGTAAAACTCTGAGCTCTGTTATGATTAGTTTCCCTTTGCTGTGCCTTCTGTGCCGAACCATTACGTATAACATGAGCATGAATGGGTGGACCTAAACAGCTGTAGGGAAGAGGCAGACATATGTAAATAAGTTGGATGTTGTTCATTTGTTTTGTAATATTCACAAAAATAGTTTTCTTTTCAGTGATTTTGTCTGAAGATTTCTGCAAAAAAATGGCAGACCACTACAGTGATTCAAAATGTGATAATTCTAAGAGTACAGGCTGCAAAGAAGATGTTAATTCATTTTACAGGTTCTTGGCTCACCAGATGAGGACAGGCTTTTGACTGTTGTAAAAATATTCTGCTCTACTTTTGCTCTAAATAGGAACACAGACAAGGTACATTCACTAAAGATGTCATAGCTCACAGAATTGGGAAATTTACGTGCAAGTGAACAAATACTTCCCACTGCATAGTAGCTCTCAGTCTCAGTCCTGGGGAAACAAGATTGTTTTTGTATTTTTTCTGCTCTAACACACCTGCATCTGATGACGGACTTCATAATTAGTGTAATAAGATGGAGAGAGTTGTTCAGGACTTGGAACAAAGACCTCAAGAGTACACATTTGTAAGATTTCAATTTAATTACACTGTTGATAGGGGTTGGAGTGGGAGTTCTCCACCGAAAAGACATTTCTAATTTCTAATTTCAGACTAGTCAGCAAAATCAGTTTTATATCTATTTCAGTATCAGGCCCCGACACCTGTAGGATAAATTGTCCTATTTTGCTTGTCTTAATAAGTCTCCCACATGTTACTGGTCAAATGAAAGGTAAAATCAATGTAAGATAAACAGTGTAGAATAGAGTGTGCAACTGGCATATTGATGCTCCATCTACACATTTGTTTTTGTTGACAACTGGACAAGCTTTACAGAACATTTGCACAAATCCCATTTAACCTTATGAGAAATCATCATGCACAACTTCTACATTTAGAGAGCATTATTAGTCAACCTGCAATCAAAATGAACATTTTTATTTAACGTCTTAGTTTATGTCTCTAGTCATATTGAGCATGATTCACCATATCATTCTATTTAAAATACAAAAATCTTGTTTTCTTGTAATCCTTGAACGTAGTAAGTGACTCTTGGCTGCCACAAGCATATTAACATAATATCCATGCCCACCTATCATAGAGCAAAAACACTCAGCTAGCTCAGAGATCCTCCCTGATATTGTGTTTCATTTGGAAATATGTCAGAGTACATAATGAAAATGTGATATAATTTCTAATTCCGAATATTAATAATATTTCCTTTGTTTGCATTTGAAAGGTCACACTGTTAGGTTAGATCAGGCACAGTTATTTTGCTGGTTAATAGCATTAACGTTAGCATGGTGGCAAATTTGTAGTTTGCACACTGTCCAACTCAGTAGCATTTTAAAGTGGAAAATCAATGTAATACATAAGACAAAGATCAATACAATTTTTCAGTAGAGTGAAAAGGCTTTTTGCCAACGTTTTTAAAGGAAACAGTTGCTCTGAAAGAATGCATTGGTGGGCAGAGCAATTGTCCTCCGTTTTTACCTCAGAATGAGGTTGTTACTATTGTCACTAGCACTCTGTTATTAGGCCTAGACCTAGACCTAGACCTATGCCTAAATGTAAATTTGAACCTTTAAATACAGTTTAGTGGACCTAATTACTTGTTGCATAATTTTCCTAACCGGCCTTTTTTAAACCTTGTTTTTAGATCATGCAAAATGTACATACGGTAAAATAGGGAAGACTCTTCTGTGCCACATTGGCTAATCATGCCACTTAAATCCTCCAATCCCATTATGATGTAACCTTTATCTTAGGCCTGACGCACGGGTCAGTCATGCTAAGCTAGGACGCAGGTTAACACGCGCAAGCACACAAGCACACACGCACACCGGCTCAGCAGGGGACTGTGGAAGAGTCCCTCTAATGCCAGGCTATATTTGTACTCCTCGGTGTCTGCTTTTGTCTGTGTCTGATGGGTGAGGTGGGGGGGGTGTCTCCACCATGAACATACATGGTAAGGCATTGGTAAGAAGCTCAGGCCACAGCAGGTTAATTTATCAACCTCAAACAGAGAGTATACTTCTGGACAGAAAGTCAAACTGAACCCAGTTTGACTCCGGGCTTGTGCTGTCAGGCTGTGTCTAACAGTCTGTAACTGCCCCATGCAGTGTGCTGTGGCACTGATATAAATATGCAGTAACGTCAGGGGAAGTCAGGGGAAAAGCATTCCTCATTCCGTGTAGAGGTGCTCCCACTGTCCCAACTCTCTTCTCCCCTCATCCCTCCACCCCTTCACTCCTCCCTGTCCTGTATGATCGAGTGATGATGGTCTTCAGCAGTTGACAACAGGCAGTGTGATAGACAGCTGGTCCATAATTCATAAACTGAGGATGACACAGGCTGTCATATTCCCCTTTCAGGAACTGCTCTGTAATGAAAACAAATCAATTCTTGCAGCCTAATTTTCTAGCCTGACCGCCACGTGGAGATGATTTGTTACAGGTATGGGAAATCTCTTTAGCATTTGTCCCTCATTTTTTCACAGCTAAAGTGTTTTGCCTTTTACTGAGCATGCAATATTCAAGATGAAATCACCGCAGGCCTCTTGACTAGAACAGGAAGTTCTTCAAGATGTTTCATGAATTAAACCAAAATTAACATGCTTTTTGCTATTCTACACCTCTTAGATTTGACCATGACACCAACAAACTTATGTTGGCTTAACAGAGTCATTGCTATAGAATCCCTGGTGGTTGCTAAGGTGTTGCTAGGCTATTGCTTTGGTTTTCCAGGTGGTTCCGAAGGTGTTGCTAGGCCATTGCTATGGTATTCCAGGTGGTTCCCAAGGTGTTGCTAGGCCAGTGCTATGGTATTCCAGGTGGTTCCCAAGGTGTTGCTAGGCCATTGCTACGGTATCGAAACTGGTTGCTAAGGTGTTGCTATGCTGTTGCCATAGTAACCAAAGTGGTCACTAAGGTGTTGCTAGGCCATTGTTATGATATTCCACATAGTTGCTAAGGTGTTGCTAGGCCATTGCTATGGTATCCCAGGAGGCTGTTCATGTAGGTGTTTACATATATGTAATAATATGTACTGCAGCCTGTTTGTAATGTCTATGAGGGGCCATATGAGAGATGTCCTTTGTGACAGTATTTGTGGCATTTAGATTTGAACTTTCTCAACATTCATTTCTGCCATTCCTACGTGTTTGAATGAAAGCGGTATGAATACTGTACGTGTGATCGGTCCCAAAAGCACATGCATTTCCATAGAGACAATATGATTCTGCAGTGTTTGGTGGTTCTAATGCGAAAACCTGTGAAAACAGTACAAAAAAGTATAAAAAGCATAGAATAATAAAAATAATGAACAACAGTAAATTCAAACCAACTTAATAATTATGACAAGTATGAAATCATCACCAGCACTATTACTGTTTACTGTCCAGAGTATAACTATGTAAATATACTCTCACTGAGCACTTTATTAGAAACACATGTAGACCTACTCATTCATGCAATTATTTAATCAGCCAATCGTATGGCATCAGTGCAGTACAAAAAAAAACGTGCAGATATGGGCAGGCAGCCTCAGGTAATGTTCAAATCAACCACCAGAATGGGGAAAAAAAGGGACTGTGGCATGACTGTTGGTGCCAGACAGGCTGGTTTGAGTATTTTTATAACTGCTAATCTTCTGGGCTTTTCACATGCAGCAGTCTCTAGAGTTCACTCAGAATGGTGCAATAAAGAAAATCATCCAATGAGTGACAGTTCTGCAGAGGGAAATTGATGAGAAAGGTCGAGCTGACAGAAAGGCTACGGTAACTCAGATAACCTCTCTGTACAATTGTGGTGAGCAGAAAAGCATCTCAGAATGCATAACATGTCGAACCTCGATGGAGCAGAAGACCTCGTCGGGTTCCACTTCTGTCAGCCGAGAACAGAAAGCTGAGGCTACAGTGGGCACAGGCTCACCAATATCGAACAGTTAAAGACTGGAAAAACGTAGCCTGTCTGATGAATGTCTATTTCTGCTGAAAAGCACAAAAAAGAACCAGAATTTGGCACCAACGACATGAATCTGTGGACTTAACCAGCCTTGTGTCAACAGTCCAGGCTGGTGGAGGTGGTGTAATGGTGTGGGGAATGTTTTCTTGGCACACTTTGGGCCCATTATTACCAATCAATCATCGTTTGAATGCCACACTCTGTTAGAGTGTTGTTGCTGATGATGTGCATCCCTTCAAGTCCACAACTCACTCATCTTCTAATGGCTACTTCCAGTATAATAAGGCATCATGTCACAAAGCAAAAGTCATCTCAAACTGGTTCCATAAACATGACAATGAGTTCAGTGTTCTTCAGCAGCCTTCTCAGTCACTGGATCTGAGTCCAAAAGAACATCTTTGAGATGTGGTAGAAAAGGAGATTCACAGCATAAAAGCACACCTGAAAAGTCTGTAGGAGTTGCATGACGCAAGCATGTCTCAAAGGAATGTTTACAACACCTTGTGGAATCCATGCCACAAACAGCTGAGGCTGTTTTGAGAGCAAAGAGAGGCCCTACCCAGTGTTAGTATAGTGTTCCTAATAAAGTACTCGGTAAGTGTATGGTGTTCCTGGGCATTCATTCTTAATAAACGTTCTTGAATCTTGGCTTGAACTGCTATAGAGCCTTTACATTATGTGGAGGTTGTATAACTCTGAATATATTATTCACTCATACAAAAATGCTTCTTTAAAGGTATAATTAATGGAAGGTTCTTTAAAGACCAAAAGCAGTTCTTAAAGCACCACTCATTTTTGGCACAATTATTTTTTGTTGGCGAAAAATAACAGGTAACATTGTGACTTCTTTGAAAAGACAGTAATTGTACAGTTAAAATTAAATGAAATATATATTTATAAATTAAAATTTTTAAAGAATAATTTTCACGGAGCATATAATGTAGCATATCTCTAATACTGGTAACCATTTTCTTTTTCTCTCCAGGTGCCTTCCTGTTTTGCTGGACTCCATTTTTTGTGGTGCACACCATGCGCGCTCTGTGCGAGGACTGTGATATTCCCAGCAGCCTCATTAGCATCGTCACGTGGCTAGGTTACGTTAACAGTGCTCTCAACCCCATCATCTACACCGTCTTCAATACTGAGTTCAGGAAGTTCTTCAAGAAGTTTCTGCCTAATTGCTGCTAATCACTTTGCATGCCTAATGAACATTTGGGCCACTTGTATATGAATATAACACGACCGTGATTGTAAATAACCATAATGCATTGCTTACATATTGTACATATTAGAATGTATATCTTGCTGTTACATTGTTCTCTTTTGTATTTCTACATATACATTTTCAATACATGTTCTGAATTGCTGTTCTGGCTCAGTTCCATTGTGACAACTGGCTGTTGTTGATGACCTCACATTTACAGGCTCTTTAATGAGGCTCAGCAAACTGCCAAGCAGTACCAGCAATGCTGCATTTTGAAGGATATTGATTTTGTATTTAATAGCACTGAGATTAAACTAAGAAATACTTAATGTTTTTCATAAACAACATTACTATGAGTCGGTTATGGCAAATGACATATACAAATCATGAAATCAGCAACACATTCTCTCATGGGGCAATTCAGCACTATTTTTCATAATAAACATTGTATGTAGCTACAAAGGGTCAGCAAAAGTCCCCACCCCTCCAATTGTATGGTATGGCATCTTTTGTAATATGGTATGTCAACCTGGCTTTAGAAAACATCACTTTCTCATTATGTATTTTAAAGTCAGGTTGGAACTCTTCTGTAAACTTTAAAAGGCAATTACCTAAAAAGAAATCTCAGTAGTGATACCAAGGTCAAAATAAAAGAGTAGACATCATTTTTTTATGGCAGCGTGGTGAGTGATGTTCTCAAAGCTTTTAAGATGAGATGGACAACGTCAGTTCTCATTACATTCAGGAAAGCATAGAGCAGGGACTGTCTGTCTCCGCCAAGCACAAACACTCCAGAAGAGATTCTGTCTGTTGATGAAAAAGGCCAGTCACTGACAGCCGACACCGACAGGTGAGCGGGATCTAAAGTGACCAAGGCTCCTGTCTCACTGCTCTGGTAAAGAAACAAGGACACACAGTGTTACTTATGCAAAACACCACTCTTCCAACTGCTTGTCACTGTCGGACTATCTTCAAAATGGTAACTTCTCAGGTGAAGGAATAACATTCACAACTTACAGTGCAAGTACTGTAAAGAGATTTTTCCAAGTAATTTTGGATCAGTTATATCTGTCCGTTCATCATAAAATTTTAACACAATGCAATGAGTAAACAATCAGTTTAAATACAAACACCCAAAAGAGTAAAAAAGACAAAAATTGAGATTCAGGGTTTTTGACAGACAGGGGCAACATGCATATACAAATAAATTTTCATGACGAACACACAGAAGCAGTCTAAAATGACTTAGAATAAAATTAAGTTGCATTAACTTACATTAAAATGTAAGAATGTTTTTTTGCTCCTCTTACAAAGTTAGTTTTTGGAGATATGAGGTCTCGTTCTGACAAAGTGCCCTTTTAAAAACACTTTTAAAAGTATTCAAATTGGTTTTGGAACACTACTCTTTGTATTACTTGCTTTCAGATTGAAAAGAACATCTATGCTATTGCCCATCTCAGCTAAAAGTTCCCCTTTTGGAGAATGTGACACAAACTAACTCCATGCGAGCTTGAAAAATAAATAAATAAATAAATGAAAAAATGAATAAGTACCATCTGGATCTGTGCAGACCTGCTTACTTAGGCCTGTCAGAACATGAGGAGCATGGTCCATTGGTGATGTTTCTCTAGTGCACTTGACTCAGACACTTGCAGCCTCCTCACTCCAGGTGCAGCCAATCAGTCCACATCAGCCTGATGGTCCCTGCTGCACGGTGTGTGCACTTCTTTTAGCTTCAGTGCACTGGCTAAGGGTTAGACATCTGAAAGAGCTGATCTTGAACCAGTGTCATCTTCTGAAGTTTTGAGCATGTGATCACTGTGAGGTACAGCTGAAAAGGGCTCAGCTTAGCCTTCTTTCAGCTGTTAAAGGGTTTTGTAAGTCCGCACATAGACAAAAAAAAACAAAAAAAAACAATGACCCCTGTGACCTCCCTTTTCTGTAAACAAATCAGTCACCTTTCGCTGACTTGAATTTGCTCTTTTGGAGGTGCCACTGTTTTCACCTTAAAAGACAAAAACATGTTCCAGGCATCTCCAAAGGCCAGAAATAAAGTGACCCCAGCTCAGAGTCACTGAGGCGAGGAATTCCTGAAGAAGAAGCGACTGGGCAGCTTTTTGTCCCCCTGCAGAGCCTGGAGGAGCCCACTATGACGACAGCACTTAACCGTACAATGGTAATAGCAGCACAAGTGAAAGAATAGTGAGGGCAGCAGGGAATAAAACCACGCTACAGCATGAAATGTTGCACTGCAACAGGAGTCACAGATGTAACCTGGCGGGATAGTATTGAAGGTGGCTGCCACCTTCAGAACCCCCCACTGGGCTGGTGGAACAGCCTTGATGCTAGAGCAGACAGGAAAAATAAATGGACATGCAAAGAGCTGTGTATGTTTGTGTGTCTGCTCTGCAGAACTTCAATACAGTTGTTCTTGAGAAAGGTCTTAAGAAAAGGTCTACATCAGATTCATGATGTGTTCTTAAACCGCAGAATTATTTGCACCTTTGTGCTCTTAAGTGTGTGTAGATTGTGTTCTTACCTAAGAACAAATCCCAGATAACAAAACACTGGTGAATGTCAGAATCTTTGTGAAAACTTTGTGCAGAACTGGATTTTAAGAAGAACTTTCTTGAGGCCCTTTGTTTTTATGGTTGGTTGTGAGACTTAAGGGAGCTGACCTTGATGAGAGAGAGCGAAAGAGAGTGTGTGTGTGTGTGTGTGTGTGTGTGTGTGTGTGTGTGTGTGTGTGCGCGTGTGTGTGTGTGTGTGAGAGAGAGAGAGAGAGAGAGAGAGAGAGAGAATAAATTATAGTGGGCTCACAAATCACCTGAAGGTAGATTAGACTAGACAACCCTGTACAGTCCCCTGTCACCTACAGCAGGTCCACATCACTGGCTGTTCAAGCACTACTTTGAATGCTAAATCATCATCATCACACAGAGACCGAAGTTTTAGACAAGATCATTCTGACAGCAGGACCTTGGAATAAACTGTTTTTTGGGGTTCACTGCAATTGTAAAGTGTACACCAAAGCCCTTAAAAATACCTGTATGTCTTAGGTCTATCCCCAAGTGTGCCTCCCAATTACTTCCCAAATACTTTTCCTGAACGGTCAAAGAATGCAGCGCAAAAGCCATAGCTTTAACAGTCTGGGAGACTAGAAGCAAATCATTCTATAGATGTCCATACAGAACAGGAGTCACATACTACTGTTGGAACAGCAAATGATAAAAATGTTTAGAAAAAATATGAGTAATAATTTCAGTAGGATTTCACTTTCAGATTATTCTACCATGGCCTTAAATGTATGCAGTTTACAGAGGCTCACAAATAGCTTAAAAAAGAATTTTTGTGAATGCTACACTTACTCAGCGTTTGTTTATAGATGTTTATATAGAGCGTTAGCTGTATGAGACACGTAAATTATGATGTGGAGGATCTCTCTAGCTGTGTGGGATACAGGTTGGAGGTGCAGAGTTCATCAGCTCTGGATTAATGCGGATGAAGCCAGCTGTGTGGCAGTGGATGGCCACCTCAGAGGAAAGCCCAGCTAATCTCTGCAATGTGCAACAGTTATTAAATATTAGTCATTTCAGTAACACCCGTTACCCTGCATGTGTGTTGAAATCTGTAATTACAGGGAATTTATAAGGTCAATTTTGTCTCATATTTATGGTTACCATATAGTTCATATGGTTACCTAAAGACTGTTGAACACTTGAGAAATTTGACATTACAGAATCTACAGTCCTGTGGGATCAAAATATCATTTAGCTCTGCTTGTGAAGGATCCATAAGGAAAGAAGAGCTCAGCCAAGTCTAGAAAAGGATGTGGGCAAGCAATTAGCACTGGCAAGCACTAACTCGCACGGCTTAAGCCCGACTTTGTGAACAAAATCCGAGACACTAATCTGTTTGTATGCGTGCACTAGGGTGCAGCACAGTGGGACAGGTGGAGGTGTACAATTTCAACCCATTACAGAGCCACAAGTGGCAATAAGAGAGTTAAAAAAGGACAGCAATGCTTCACCCCCCTATTGTCACCAGTGATGACTGAACACTAGAACTGAATATGAGGCATGAAAGATTTTTCTGTAGTTTTGTTGATGGCAATATGAGAATCCTTCACGATAATGAAGGGGAACACATTACAAACACACAAGCATACACATTCAAACACAATAATGTAAGTTTAAAACACATTTCTCATTAGAACAAGCAGATTTTTGTAGTGCATGAGCCAATTACAGTACAGTAATTAGGTAATTAATTAAAGAAAAATAATTCTTGAATTTTTTTTTTTATATTGTTTTCTTCATTAATTCCAAATATTGGGATTGTGAAACTGATGAGAGCCCTCCAATAACTGAAGAGTGTCTGTAGATTTATGGTCAAATATAAATAAATTTATTTTACAGCCATACATCAGACATTGCAGTAACAGTAATATTGTGCGTCAGTGGGTGTTTGTTTGTATGAAACAATCATGTATATCATTTTAAGTTTGGTGCCATCACTACAATTTAGTTTGGGTACCTCACTGGAGCACCTGCTGGCATCTTGTAATATTTTACCATTTCAATTAAAATACTATTGAATATGCAACTTCTAGCTAATCAAATTTTTATTTTTCTTTGCTTTTTCTTTCAGGATGAGACAAATTAAATCATGCTAACTGCTCCCTGCTACTGTTCATTCATTGTTAAGCAATATTTTTTTTCCTTCTTTAGGCCCATCAGCCATTAAAATCCCAAATAGGAACTGTTAAATTCAGCATTTTCTCCCGAAAACCAATTCCTTGTTCACTAATCTTGAGAATGCATGCTTGTTTCTGGCTATCCAGCCTATTATTCGATTTGAAGAGATATTCAGAAATGCAGCAGGGGACGTCTTATTAATTAAAAGAGGCAGTATTGCTACTCTGTAGAAGTGGACCGGTAAATAGCCTCTGTTGTAATAGTACCAAAAAACTGGTCGGGCAGTTGCAGTGATGTTCAGTTCAGGCTTTAGAATGCATACTCCAAAAACAGGGCATCATCTCAGCTTTACAGATCCAGTCAGCATATAGAAATAGTTTCGTCCTGTCACTTAAGCGTCTTGGCTGACTTGTCCAACAAATAAAATAAATACCAGTGCTTCACAAAAATACAGCCATCTCAGCCTATATTTGAGTCTTTGTTGTGGCAGAGATGTTTTCTGTGGTTGGACGTTGTACTGGGGTTACGCCTTGACTTTCTCTACCTCCACAGTAGCTATATGAGCCTCATCGTGCATTCCCACACCTACACTCGGCTGAGAGCAGCTGTGCTGGTGATCCTTCCAGTCCTGCAAAGAGATATTTTTAAAGGATAGTCCAACAAATGTGACCAAACAGAATGCTGCCTGCATTGAACTTACTATTTGGTGAATCATTGTGTTTGTATAATGGCAAATTACGAAATTTGGTTGGAAGAAAGAAACATGCTAGTCAGGTGAAGAGGAACATATGTCCTCATTAGGTACTTAAAGACTGTGAGCTACTAACTGTATGATTTTTCTCCAGCTCACAAATGAAAGAGAGTGGATTTACTGCACTGTTATATGTATATCCATTTCAAACTGCTTAATTTGGTATGATCAGCAGTAACCCATAACACTGACTGCCATCTAATCAATTATAAAGTGAACAGTGCTGTGAAGTTACTGCTCTATACCATGGACCAAGGTGGACCAAAGCTGTTCTTTACTTAGCCAAAGAAACAGGTCAAACAGTACTTGGTCACATGAGTCTTTAAAACACTGAATGGAACTCACCTTTTTTTGGCAGAAGCTGGAACAGTAGTGGACTTTGTGGCAGCCAGCACATTCATTTGAAGCCTCACGTCCACAGTTCACACAGGTGTGCTGAAAAGGTGCAAAAATAGTTATAGTTAGAGCTGCATTATGCAAGTTTTGGGGATTTGGAAACCTCTGTGGCAGAAATGTGTAATTGCAAGCAATGTGCAAAAGAACATTCTGACAACATCTCTGACTTTTAAATTACTATTTCAGGGTTTACAGGGTTACTCGCAGCAGCGCATGTACAAAATATTTTAGCATGTTTTTTCCCTCCTGACTCTTACATAGTGCAGCTTTAAACCACTTTTATACACACAGAGCAGACTAGTGGTAGAAAAGAATTTTCTTTCATCGGAATTATGGTTATAAGTTTATTTTCCCTTTTAGGCCTTTCAATTTCATCCAAGACATCAAAAGATCCCAGAGTTATAGAAACAAAAAATGCATTCTGACATCTGGGCCCTGTAAATGAAAGCAACTACAAGATGAGCAAAATCTATAAATCAGCCAAAATATGTTTTTATACAAAAAGTAAAGACTTGATATACTTCTTATTCAGCAAAGCAACAGTTCAATTTGTTTTACAAATTAGGATGACTACTAGTTTTGGATCGGTGCATGATTTAATTATTGTACCAAAATTAATTAATCAACCCAAATAAAACTGAGCAAGAGCTTGGAAATCTGCGAATGGATGGACAAGTTCATTCATAGGCTCTGGTGGCTTTAAACTTTAAACTTGTTTACATATTTCTCTCACCAAGTAAAAGCTGCAGGCAGTGAGGTGACAACACCAGAGGTCAAGCACCAATGCATATATACCCTTGCTCTAAGTGAATGGGCATTGCTTGAGGTCACACACAACTGCTACTGTTGATAGTGCCACATCACGCTCCACTGAACAAGTCCTATAAGCCTTCCAGCTACACCTTTGCACAGAGCAGCAGCATAAGAAGACAAGTTGGGTGTCTACACTGCCATTCCTCTAAATGATTTAGCAGCTACAGCTCCAAATGCACACAGAATATCTCTGTGTCTGGAAAAAAATGCTCTGCCCAAGTGTAGTGAAGAAGCCAGAGCTAGAGACGGTGAATGAGAACAGTCATGCTTCTCTGTGGACTGAGATTTTGAAATCATCTGAGGCAGTAAGCTGGAGTAATTCACAAAGCCATTTCCAGGAATCAAAAACACATCAAGCAAGCCCCAGAAAAGTGTTAACAAACAGAAATAGCGTTAACTAACTTTCACTTAAGATGCCTGCTGTGAGTGTTTATCTGTAACATAGCAGAGTATCTTTACAGCTTGAGAGAGAAAGAGAGAGCAGTACGCCCACTTGCCTTGATGATAATTTCAGTAATCTTCCCCTCTGGGTCATCAGCAAGCGACAGCTGGCTGGGAAAAGACTAAAGTAGAGAAACTTATGATTAGCCTACTTAGTGATGAAACAGCCACTTCATATATATGGACTGGGGAGTGAAGGTACATTTTGAAACTTTAACAATGTTTACATACGACATCAAACTTTTTATTAAAAAAAAGCCAAGAATATCTGGTTCTGCATGATATAGACCTTTTATTGCCCTTTTACTCTATACATACAACCTTCTATGTCTCAGAACGGCTAAAAATGTTTTCTTTCAGACTCTGAACACTTCCATGCTGCTGGACATTTAACTGCACATTAACCGGTTTAGATTTTATATTTCCGACAAGCCGACCTTGAAACTTGTTTATTAGTACAAACACAGTATCAAAACTGATAACATGGAGAGATCTCCATGGTTCTGTCACGCGTGCAGCTGCTCTAACAAATGACAGTCGTTTTGTAGAGGGTATGAACTTCCTGAACAAAGTCAAATCTTCCCACTGAGTGACCAAGGTTAAAGTGCTGTTAACTGCAGGTTGAAATAATGTACAATAAGGCAAATAAGTCAAGCCATTTGTTTTAACCAGACTAAACAGACATATAGTTAAGTCAGACAAATCAAGGACACCTATTAAAAGTGTATCGATAGAACGGGTCTTTCAAGTTTGCCACATAATGACAGATTATGGAGGATGCAGTGGATTGTGCAGTGGGGGGTTTAGCAGCTCAATGACAACAGTTAGAAAGTTTGTTCAGTATCCTGATAAACACTGGTTCAGTGCTATAAATGCATCACAGAATAATAACCTAATGAACTCACTTCCTTTCATTAAATACTACCCATGTGACCATGCAAACTTAGTTGAGTGCAAAACAGAACTCAGGCTACAAGAAAGAACCTCATCATTAACGACAGACAGCTAATTAGTCTTCGCTGTGTGGGCAGGAGGTGTGACCTCTCTGCAGCTATATTTGAGCTGCTTTACAAGGAGAGAACAAGTGACTTTTAGGGGGGAGTTAAATGACTTGTTAAGGTATGTGTTGATGCCATTCAGCTAATATGTTTAAACTTAAAGAAGCATATTTCTCAATATTACTCAAATACTATTTTACAGACCCAGCACTTCTATGTGAATATAGATAAAGGCACTGATCTGGATGCAGTTTCTCTGTTGATCATACACTGATCAGCCATAACATTAAAACCATCTCCTTGTATCTACACTCATATTAATCAGCTCCACTTACCATAGAGGTGCACTCTGTAGTTCTACAATTACTACAACTGTTGTTCTACATACTTTGTTAGCCCCCTTTGACCCTGTTCTTCAATGATGAGGACCCACAAAGGACCACCACAAAGCAGGTGTTTTTTTTTGGGTGGTGGATCATTCTCAGCACTGCAGTGACACTGACGTGGTGGTGGATCATTCTCAGCACTGCAGTGACACTGACGTGGTGGTGGTGTGTTTGTGTGTGTTGCGCTTGTTTGAGTGGATCAGACACAGCAGTGCTGTCGGAGTTCTTGAGCACTGTGTCCACTCACTGTCCACTCTATTAGACACTCCTACCTGGTTGGTCCACCTTGTAGATGTAAAGTCAGAGACGATAGCTCATCTGCTGCTGCAGTTTGTGCTGGTCATCCTCTAGTCCTTCATCCGTGGACACAGGACGTTGGCTGGTTATTTTTGGGAGGTGGACTATTCTGAGTCCAGCAGTGACACTGAGGTGTTTAAAAACTACACTGCTGTGCCTGATCTCATCCAAAAGGGTCTAATAAAGTATGCAGAGAAACAGACGAACTACATTCTGTAATAGCAGAACTACAAAGTGAACCTATATGGTAAGCGGAGCTGATACAATGGACAGTGAGTGTACAAAGAAGGAGAAGGTTTTAAAAGTAACGGCTGTTCGGTGTATAGTACCTGTTTTTGTGCGTGTGGGGAGGGGGTGCTGGATGGTTGAAAAAGGTTAGTTTCTACCTGAAGCAACACATGCAGCAATACAGAGCGTAAAGACAAACACAGAGAAACTATACTCACATCCTTCCTGCTGCAGCTTTTCTCAAGTCCACTGCTGGCCTGCTGGTTGGCCTGGCTGGCTTGCTTGGCCTGGGCGATGAGGGTCTTGAGCTGCTGGACGGTGTTGAGCAGTGTGTTAGCTGTCTCTTCCAGGTAGAGCCAGGTGCGCTGCTCGCTCATCTCCAGGCCATTGACCACTCCGCCTGCCGCAGGAGCTTTGGTCTGCACCACTGTCTGTTGAGGGACCACAGCAAGAGCGGGCAGCGTGGTCAATACTGCAAGAGAAGCAAAATATGTGGAAGATCCAAGTTTAGGATTAGGAACATGGTAATTAACTAACCAAAGACAAAGAATGTGTACATTTATTCCAGTTCCCTAAGCGGCAGTACAAGAATCTCTGTAGGCCATTTATCTCTCAAATGTTGCATTCCCTTGTTGTACAGCACTAACCAGTCAAGAATAAGAAGAACTAAATTATCCCCCAAATTGCTCCTGAGTAGCAGTGTGTACAGTGAAGTGCACAAGCACAGTACAAAGTAATGTACAGTCTCAGACTATAAGAAAAATAAAAAAGTAAACGTGAATTTCAATGTACAAAAAAGGTAGGAGGAGGTTTTTACACATATTGTTTAGATAAAACAATTGATACTGCACCATTATGTCTTTACAAGTTTAGAAGAGAGCACTAACTCCCCAGTTCAGTGAACTTGAGCGAGCACACAGACATAGTTGGCTAGCACTCTTTAAGATCAAAAGCAATCCTTCTCTTCCAGAAAGCATCACAGCCAATTCTACTCTTCTGGACTAAGAGCCACAGATGATTGTGCCAGGATTCAAACTTGTGTCGCTATAGCTAGTTGCACCACTTGGGAGCACACGTTTCCATGCTAAACCTGCAGGCCGAGCTGTGATTAGTCACTGCAGGCCTGTCAGTCAGATATGACCTTGGTGAAAAGATGTGCAATCCTAAATGGGTTCCTCTTTAACCCTGACCCACATTTCAACCAGCCCAGTTTTGTAAAAGAGGACGAAACAAGGATGAATGTGGGCTAGACAAGACCTCACACACTGAAACTGCCCTCACCAGGAGCTCTGGACAAGAAAACAAATTAAAATTGTGAGAAGCTGAAGGTTCTATTACAGCTGTGTGTGTGCCTGAGAAAGTGAGAGAGACCATCTGCTAGAAAAACAGCTGTTCCCACTGATTAATGACAAGTATAACATGTTGAGTAATGTCTCTGCATTTAGGTTTGTGTATAACACACCTGTACTTACAACGCTTTCTAATGCTGGAGCAAGGAGTCAACTACATCCACAAGAATATCTACTGTAATTAAAAGGTCATTTAGGACATGCAAGTATTACAGTCAAGCGGTCCAGCCTCCTTACCAGCTCCTTGTCAACTAAGGCTATCCATAATGACTTGCATTCTAGAAAGAGGGCTGCCCACTCATGAGCAATCTATTGGGCTTTAGCTGCCAGCCTACACATCTTACATAGAGCTTTATCTCCAGACCCTCACAAGAACATGTGCACATTCAACAGAGAACTATCAAAACAGTATAAAGAAAACAGTACAAAAATAAGATATTTAATAATTTACCTTTTGATCTTCATTATTTTCTGGAAATATACTCTAATTCTAAAACTGATACCTGCAACATGTTCCAAAAAAGTTGAGGTAGGAACACTAAGATTAGGAATGCTGTAAAATGTTCCAGAAATGTGCTGTAATCATGCTTGGGTATAAAAGGCACATCCAGTATGTTAGCTCTTTTGAAACTAGTCCTTTATGAGTAAGAGTGGGTCGAGGTTTATCACTCATCACTGTCAAATAATGTGTCCACAGTTTAAAAACATTGTTTCTCAACAATCATTTGCAAGGATTCTATGTATTTCACACTGTATAGTGCAGAATATCATCAAAAGATTAAGAGAATCTGGAGAAATCTCTGTGTGTAAAGGGCAAGGTAAAACCACAAATGAATGCCCATGACTTTTGATCACTCAGATGGCACTGCATTTAAAAACAGACATGCTTCTGTAATGACTATAACCACATGGGTTTGGGAATACTATGGCAAACCTTGGTCAGTAATCACAGTTTGTTGTAGCAGCTACATATGCCAGTTAAGACTCTACTATGCAAAGCAGAAGCCATATATCAATAACATCTAGAAACGCTGCCAACTTCTCTGGGCCAAAGCTCATCTGAGATGTACTGACACAAAGTGGAAATGTGTGCTGTAATCTGATGAGTCCACCTTTCAAAGTGTTTATGGAAATATTTGGTGTCATATTCTCTGGGCCCTAGAGGAAAAGGACAATCCTGTTATCCAGCATCTGTCATGGTATGGGAGTGTGTTTGTGCCAATAGCAATTTGCAAATCTGTGAAAGAACCATTACTGCTGAGGGGACAAAAAAGACAACGTCTTTTTCAGGGACATCCCTGCTTGTATCAAGTCACATTGTGCACATGTTCTTAATGCAACACAGCGGTAAACATGCCACAGTCTGATTTTTTTGGAATCAGACTACCAACTCTCAAAATGGAAGATAAACACTGAGTAAACAGAATGTCACAGACACCTTTTAAATGTAAGGTCATTTTCTATTTGTCCTTAGGTCAAGTTTAAGTTGTTAGCCATGGAATCAGCTAGACGAAGAAAGTGCCCCACAGACATGCTGGCGTACAGAGAAGTAGGCTTGTAGCACAGCCCTACATAAAAATCTCATTCCAAAAGATGTTCAAGTGGATTGAGATCTGGTGACTGCTGAAGACTGATGTGATCATGGAACCATAAATGAAAAATCTACTCTATAAGAGTATTACCTTGAAGGCAGAAATGTTTAGATATACTATAGTATTTAAATGTTGCTCCACATTGCTCTGACCTGTAAAGGGTCCTAGTGTGTCCTGGAAACACAGTCCAGCTAAGTCAGTCCTCTCAATCCATGTGTCAACTGTCTCCAGCCTTCACAATAATCCTTTAACCCTTCTCCTTAGCTTAATTTTAAAAGAAAGTTAAGAAGAAGAAGAAGGAGATGACTGGTCTTGTATGCTTCTCAGTAGATAATCACAACATTGCAGGCTCTCAAACAGACAAATCCCAGCAGAGTTTACAAACATACCTGAAATGTAGCTGTTTAAAGTGGATTTAAGGTGAAATTAATTCAGACTCAACTTGCTTAAAAAATAATTCTGAATTTTGTGTTTTCACAAATATCACAGCAACGCCACAGTGGAGCCTGACGCAGGAACGCTGTCTGCTACTTGTGTCTACAAAACAAAACCCTACAAGCTACATGCTCATCAGTGCTATAACCCTCATGACTTAAGACAAATATGGACAACGTTTGCAAGTGTTCTTCTGTAAAACACAAGGCAGCATAGAACACAAATCTCAAACCTAAATAATAATAATAATAATAATGATGATGATAATAATATATTGTATATATATTGTAATACATTGTATAATATATAACTATATGTGGAAAAGGCATCTGATGTCACCATTTAAGCCTGTAGACAGACAGAGCCAGATTAGTTGACAATTCTTTGTGTGAAGGCAGCTAAAACAGTGCGATCTCATCAATATATGTCAAAGCAGAGACAGAAGACAGAATCTCAGCGCTCGAGGGGGAAATGAGAGAGACTACTTGTCAGTGGAGAGAAAAAAGGAAGCTTACAAATTCCAGAGAAGGACTGCTGTTCTGAGTGCCCTCGGCTCATCTGTCTAATGGACTGATACCCACGAATGCCCAGACATGTAGTGACCTCCAAAATTATCAGGACAGTACAGACAAACTTGTTACTTTTGCTGAAAAAGAGCAGTGTTTGGTTGAAAAAGTCTCCTAATTTTCACTCAGTAAAAATTCCACAGCTATGGAATCAGCCCTCCTCTAAGCAAAGGGAGCGCATTTCGAATACAGTGGTCAGTGCTCGAGTCCTGGAGTGTCTATTTTGGAACTTACGAGTCCTCAGAAAATAAAGCACTTAGTAAAATGTCACTTCCTCCATTTTTATATTTACTATAATTGACCACTGAAAAATCTCCTTCAACTGAATATCCACCAAGCTATTTTATTTAGACAGCTGTGGGCTATTACAGACATTTGTCCACAGTTATTTGCCACAGAAAATGTGCCTGCGTAGCCTGTTATTATGATGACAGGCCACGAGTGAAAGTCACATTAAGGGGAAAAACATAAACATTAATTCATTACTTATGTTCTTTTAAAAATATGCCAAAATGCCTTTTTGTGAGACACTAACAGCTGACTAAGAGATACAAAAAAGAGCAGTTATGAACTGAGGATGGACGAGCTGCTGTCAAGCACCTAAATGTAACCCGCAATTACTGCCATCAGGATGTGACTGACCGCCTTATTTACTCTGCCAGCTGGGGAGACTCAGCTCCAGCTTTCAAATCAGGGAGCCGAAATCAACAAATCTCTGCTCTAACGAGAGAAGGGCACACGTGTCTGCAGTTCTACAGGACCTGAGTGGTCTCAGATGGTGAACGGTTCCAGACACGTTTGCTCACTTGCTAGACCTAATTTAGCATAAATGTGATAGGGAGAAAAATGCAGGTTTTAGGGATGCACAGTAATTGGATGATACAGGAATTCTGGGCTGATGCTGACAGGGCTGGCTCTAGTCTTTTGAGGGCCTTAAGCAGGATTTTTAATGCGGGGGCTTCGCATCTTGCTAGTGGATGTACTACAAAATTATATTTAACTAATAACAATGACTACTACAAGCTAAAATTGTCTTAATAATCTATCTAAATTATTTAAATTTAGAACTGGTTCATTTGTATTCATTTTTAATGTGACCATTGTGTTTCAAGATTATTGACATTCATTACTAATTTTAGCAAAGTCAAAGAATCTGTGCTTACTTTAAGTTACTGATTTGTCCCATTGAATGTCTCTGAGGCATTCTGGGACAATGTGCAGAGCAGAGATGAAAGTTCAGCAAGAACAGCACGTTACGAGCATAAAAAATGCTTCAGAAAACATGTGAATATGGCTTCATAATGACTCCTTCAAAAAGCCAATTGTTAGCACTTAAATCTGTGACCATAAAATGCAACCAGATGACAAACTGTTAGTTGAACATCACTGTTTGCTCCGAACAGACTCACTTCAACTGGTGTACACTTTATATTCTCTTCATAACAGTCTATGTTTTGAGCAGGTCAACAGAAAGCTAATCAGCTAACAGGCTAATGCTACAATAATAAAAGATAAACTTCAAAGTTAAGCCTTCACAGAAGGAGCTACTTCAAAACTGAGACATACAAAGTAAAGAATGTCACTTGTACGCCTGTTATGTGCTTAAAATGTCTGCATTTAAACTAGAGCTGACATGAAAATCCAATATAGCGCTGAGCTAACACTGCTAGCTTGACGCTAACATACCATGGTGAACATACAAGGAGCAGTAAAAATTTGATTTCTCCATTAGACATTGCTATGTAATAACATTGTTTTAAGGTTTTCTGCCTACAAGTTACCTGACTCTCAGTGTCAACACAATTAAAAAGTTGAAATTAAATAACTTCAATAGTGTGAGTAATTTGTAGTAGGCTATAAATACAACCCTGTAACTGAAGTGTTTTTCTGACACAGGTTCAGGTTTCTGTTGACTGATTGATTACAAGCATCAGCACACAAGCATGTGAGCATCCCAACAATAAATATTGTTTACATTTCTGTAATGGTAGAACATCGAAAGCATTTTATGTAAAACATTTGCAAAACCCAGAAAAAGCACCCCCCCACCACCTTTTCGTCAGCATAATATGTATGAGCAGTCAATGCTGGCCATGGCGTCCAAATCAATATATCAAGAAAAAGTCAGATTGATTGGAGATCCACATGAATCAATAAGTTATCTCTGAGTCCCGATTGTGTATTATTCCCCATGATAACATATCCAGAAATCTATAATTGCCTTGTAAATATTGCATCAGCATACACATCGCAGGAGAGAAAAGCATAGATTGCTTTTTATAACTGATGTTATTTAGTCTGTGGAAGGGTGAGCCATATTTTGTCTTTTCTACCATCAACTACATCATCAAACATTACCGTGAAGGTAAAAGTGAGTAATAGCTATGTATGTATGTTTGATAGGGCCAATTGGTGTTATCCTGATGTAGTGAGAATCCACTCAAAAATGTCGCACCTATGCCACAAGTTTATGAAAAAACAAATTTGGGGGCTATGGAGCTTTTGTGCAATGTCATAGTTTGTAAATGCTTGATCTTTTTTTTTTTTTTTAAGAAAAATGCACTCATTTTCTGAACACAGAACAGCATAAAATATTTTAACACTGCTGTTATATTTTTAGTACTTTAGAACTTTAGTTATAGGACTTACTACCAGTGCCTTATGTACATTCATGATGTCAGTAAAATAGTTTACTCAGCCAATCTGAGTGAACAAATCAGCACTCAGTAGCAGTAATGCTGGCGCCCCACTGTCCAAAACCAGTGTGCTATAGAAAATTGTAAAGATACCGGTAGGTTTTCTTTAATTTTTTTTAATAGAATACATTCTTCAGCACTCCAAAATTAAAGGAAGGACCAAATTTATTTTTTTATTTCTTGTCATTTATCTGCATTCAACCCATCAGTGCACTCTAAAAAGCCTGTCTAAGTTAAACCTGCTTCATCAGACAGACCCCAGATCGGCGACTATTTGTTGTTTAACTACAAGCCAAAACAAACAGTACAACAATAAAAAATAAATAAATAAATAAAAGTTTTTCTCTTAATTTCTTTTCCATTCTTTTCCATGAAAATGTGTAATATTATTATGAAAAAATGTAAGTATAAATCAAGGACAACGATTTCTGCGACTGTGTAAACAGACGCCTGTTTAACTTGAAATTAGTCTGAAAAGTCAGGTGGCATATATGCAGATATAAAAATGATTAAAAAAATAATTTTTGGGAACCCTATTTTTGGGAACCATTATTTATTATTTATTTGCAAATGCAGTAGAGTAAAAAAATGCTGACATTTTTGCACAGTAGTCCAGTGTCACCTTAACATTCTGCTCTTTAGAGTGCAGTAAATGCTTAATTGGTCAATCCTAATCTGTCTGATGGCAATATTTTTTTAAAGCAAATATTTGCTGATACCGGTATGATTTTGATTTTATCATGCATCCCTAACACTTTCTATGTATGTAAACATGTGTGGGGGAAGTGTGAGTGAAAGCGCCTGTGACCTACCTGCCGTACTGCTGAAGACATCTGAAGGCGTGGGGCTCTCAGAGATGATGGCCGTTGTGTCTGCTGTTCCTGTCCGGTCGAAGGTGAGTGTGCCTGAGGTGGTGAGCTGACCTGATGGGGACACTGTGACTGTGGATAGACATGAGTGCAATGGTGAACAACCTTTTGCTTTGACTACAAAACAGTGTGCTAAATTGAAATAAATGGCCAATTACTTCGGTGGTAGCTAACTAAAAGGCCTCGTCTCACGGGGCGAGATGTTTAAACAGTCAAATATGTTAATAAGCTCTTATTTAGAGAAGACAACAGGGTCTAATGTTGCTTCAGGCTTGTGTTTAATGATTGTTTTAACCTCAACATTTGTTCTTATTTGACAAAACAACTGCAGCTTTGTTTTTTCCTGATTGAATCGACCCAGTTCAGCACTTCTCCTATGCCAGAGGATATTACTCACAACAGCACAGACCATAAAAACTCACAAAACAACTGTTGCTCATCCTTCAGTGGCTGTCAGATTAACTGGAGTTCCACTTTCATACAAGCAGCATTGTTTAATAGGGGAGTAAAAGTGATTAAATTCATTGTGACTTATCAAATAGTAGGTGATGTTCAACTGCATTGATTTTGAAACTGATTATAACTGATAATGAGTATGCATTAAATAAATCAAATAATTGAGTATGCATTAACTTTTGGCTAAAACAAAATGTTCAGGCTATTTTCAAACAAAAAAAAATTAACATTAAGGTAATGTGTTATTTTTCCTGTCTAATTCCACCACTGTGTAAATAATTCACAATTGTGTATTCAGTATTTTTAAATAATTCTGCAACAAAAAATAATCTAATAAAAACAAGCAAAATTAGACTTCATGATGCAGCAAAACTAGAGATACACTGATATGGGAATTGTGGTGCCGATACTCAATATTTTTATGCACACATCTGATGACGATATATAAACATTTATAAAGCGTAGACAATGAGACTAGATCTACCTGGATCATTTATAATTATTATTAAAAAAATTGTAAGTATAAACTCAGGTTAAAGGACAAAAGTTTCTGCGAATGTCTATATAGATGCCTGTTTAACTTGAAATTAGTCTGAAAAGTCAGGAGGCACAACCACATAGGTCAAATGGTGCAACCAGACCAGCACAGTTTTAATAACTGAAACAGGCAAATAAAAGCTTTGATAACACCAACTACATTTAAGACATATAATGCACATAGATATAAATCCAAATATATATGCAGATACAAAACAGGGAAATATAACAATTATTTCTGTAGGTTTGCAAACATAGTAAAATAAATAAAATGCTGATGTTTTAGAACAGCAGCTCAGCGTCACCTAAACATTCTGCTTTTCCAGAGGAGAATAAACACATCACCAAATGTCAATTTTAAATAGTTGTCAAATCTATCTGCCCAATGCTGATATATTTTTTAAAAGTAAATTATCAGCCAAAATCAGTATGATTCCAATTTGATTCCAACTGTCATCCTGCATCCCTAATTACATTCCCTAAAGTATCATAATCAAATATAATTATATCCCTGCTGCATAAATGAGGGTTTCAGTAAAAGAATAAGTTATAACCCCCTAAATATTCACTGATTAACTGAGATCTCAGAGAGAAGGGACAGAGTGTACTGATGTGAGGGAGGTATCGCTGCAATAGTAACTGTAGTAAAACACTCACAGGCAGCCCCGGGTGCTAGAGTGATGTTCTTAAGAGGTTGTGGCTCTTTCTTCTCTGGAGAAGCCGGATGATCGCTCTCTTTCTTCCGTCTCTTGTATGGGACGAAGAGTCTCACAGGGCCAGTCTGTATGAGGAGGCAGATACAACATCAGACTGAACCACCATTGGCAAGAAAACCACGTGCTGAAGCAAGCATATTTCAGAAAAGGGAACAACTTCACTTTACCATAGATATACTGTCTCCTCCAAAGGATCCATCCTTGTTCTGAATGAGGGTTATACAGAGAGTGCAAGAATTAAAAGCAGAGTGAGGGCCTTCAAATGACTGAAAGTACAGATCTAGAAGTCTAGATGTACACCATTAACGCCCAATGTCATTGGCCTAAGATCAACTGAGACACAGAACTCAAGAGAGCCCAAACTTTGCTGGCCTTTTGCCTCTTACGATTTTGATAATTTAAACTGTGGTGTCCCAGCTCTGCCCTGGAGAGCCATAGAGCTGCAGTGTTTATTTTCCCTGCTCTAAAGGCAAAAAATACTACGTCCTGCTGCAGTGTTTAGTTTTTAATTTTAACTACTGAACAAAAAGGTAAGGGGCATTTGACTAACCACAGTTAGATCATCACAGCAGGCCGCGCATGTACAGGATGCAGCGTGCGGGTTGAGGATGCGCTCCTGTAAAAAACAACCAATGCACAAATCACAAACATCCCGAAACACAGTGGCTCTGAAATTCTACACAAAATAAATTTTATCAAAACATAAGATCCTATGTAAAGAATTATTTTAAGTACAGTCATGCAAAAGTTTGGGTGCCCCTGCACAAATGACAAATGTTGATTTTCTAAGTGTACATTTTAATACACAGTTACCGTTATTTGTTGAATATATATATATAATGGAAAAAAATAAAATAAAACGTAAAATGTGGCCTGTGGAAAAGTTATGGCACATTTTAGATTTTATTTTTTACCAATATGTTAAACTCAGCAACTAAATAGAATTTGTGTAATAAAATGTCATCTTTAAGTGTGTTCTCTGTGGAGGGTGTGTTAACTTATTTTAACTTGGAAAACCAACAAAGCATGTTATTTGACCAGGGGTGATCAAACTTTTGCACAAATGTAGTTTCTTTCTACGGACTCTGTAACTGAGATAATGTGTGTGTGTGTGTGTGTGTGTGAGAACATTTTGCACAATCTGACCTGTATAAGACACTGCAGAGGTCGCCCTGCATAGCGAATGCTCCTCTTCCAGTCCTTACTGCTGGCCCTTCCAGCCAGCCCTTCAAACTCCGTGGGAGTATACCAGTTATTGTTGTGTTTGATGCAGTGTCCTTTGCCCCCTGAGAGCAATACATACATTTTCAAACACAGGCCTGAATAACATTCAGAGCTACAGACAGGTTGAATGAGTCCTATAAGGTCATGTACCAGCGTGTGACTTTGGTGGAATCCCTGCTCAAGCAGCTGTTCACCACTTAATTACCAACTTTAGTAGGAATGTTTGAGCAGTAAATCACCAAACTGTGCTGGACTGCGGCCCACCAGGACCAGAACTAGATATATGGACCATTAGGTCTACAAAACTGTGACTGGAGTGAACAGTGCACTGGTGACCCCTAGTGGGCAGACCCACCTGATCCCAGTCTGTTTTTGTAGAGAATACCACTGGTGTTCCTGCAGCGCACTGGGAGCTCATTGTCATACACAGATGGATCCCAGTTATATTTGGACACATCTTTCTCATGGCTTGGAGTCAGCGGGGTAGAAGGAGTTTGAGGGCCTATAATGGAGTGAAAAGTACAAATCGAGAGCTTTTAAGTTTTAATTAATAAGAACAGTATAAGAACATGGACTTGCTGCATAACAAAAGCAATTATAATATTAATTAAACTATGACAGCAGATTCTTAGCAATAAATATTACACACTTATTTAATTCAATTCAATCTGTATAAAGCTTTTTACAATCAAGATAGTCACAAAGTAGTTTTGCAGGGACTGGATCAGAACCCAGACCTAGGAACTGTTAATGTTAAGGTGGAGACATCACAGTTAATGATTGATTAGAGTAGTTAAAATGAATTGTGAACTTTGTTAATGTTAATACTTAATATGATATCCAAATAATAATGGCATGTGGGAGTTGTCAGATTATACTGATTGAGGCACTGCTCTAGCTTATCTACCTAAAATACTGTTTCTAATGCTAATTGTGGATGGATTGGTTCCAGATCTGTACTACTACACATACCTGGAGTCATGGGTGCAGTGGTGGCTTTCAGGCCGGTCGCGTCCACTATACTGCCATCTGTGTGCACAACGATCAGAGTGGCCTTTTGGGTGCTGAGACTGTCCCCAATCTGCAGAGTCGTCCGACCCGTCTGTACACACCAAATGTAACAGTGAGACACAAACATGGTACACATCTTAATTTCCAGAAATTCAATATAATCTATAATTGAAATCCACCAATAGCAGACTGGACTGATAACAGTATCACTAAAATGTTCCTCCAGTACAAGCAAATCAAATATGCATATTTGTTCTAAACTGATTCTGTTACATGCTCGGGATGCTGGGAAAACTGTGTTCAGGCAGATCATTTCATAAGCATTTCATATGGCAAAAATGAAGCACTTGTATAAGGCACTGTAGAGGTCGCCCCACAATGAAACATCCACACACGTAGTGTTTACAATTGTTCAGTAATTACACTGGAACCATCTGGTATCAAAAGGCACTTGAAATTGGCCCTGATTGTGAGAAAATGGCAATACACACATCCCTAGAGATTCCAAATGTCTGGAATTAACAAAGCCAAGGAAAAGAGCCAATTCCAAACAACTAAACATTTTCAAGCAAACCTTAAATACTCACAAGCACATGCTCAGGGATGGAGGCTGCTGTGGCGACAGATGTTGAGAAAACATTGTCATCTGCAGTCTGGACGCCGCCAACAGTGACTGTGGTCACCTCTGCAAAGAGATTCAGGAGACGGATCAATAGATGGATAAACAGCTAGATAACCAACTCTGTAAATCACATTCTATAGAAAAGCATGTAAACTTGTTTAGAGCCACAAACCTACACCAGATTTAGAATATAGCCCCACTGATTCTCAAAGACTAAAATTACTTCTCAAAAATATTTATTTTCTTATGACAGGAAATTATTTCTGAAGAACTGTGTTAAGAATGAGGAGTTTTATTCCAAAATGCTGTATATCCTTTTGTAACAATTTTGGATATAACAAGTTTTTAAAAACAATAACAGTCGGTTTATAATGGAAAACTCATGTTTAGTCTTCTAATAAAGCTAGTATTCACCAAAATATATTTCTTGTATGCGTAAAGACAAGTTGCAACGACCTATATAATAAAATAAAGAAAAAGAAAATTCCTGAAAGTGGTCTGTAATGCATTTTGGAAAGAAATGTCTATTCTAAGGGTTCGCAGTAATCATAGTCCATTATGAATCAACGATGAGAAAGTTGTCAATGAACAATTCACAAGTAAACAAACCATTTCTCATTCACCCAGTATTAGCCAGCTCTTTTTTAAAGAAACTCCCTTGAGAAAGCGATTCTGCCTGGAGTTTGGCCAGATTTAGTGGCGAGTTGTCAGTTGTGAATTGTGACAGTGGGCTGGTGCAGAGCTCCGACTGATGATGAAGACACGTTAGGAAACAGTTATCATTAGCCAGCGTTGTTGCCTCGCAGCAGGTTTGTTTAGCGCAGAGCTGCTAGCTAGCATGGTTCACTGGATAAACACACACTGTCTGCGGCGTTACTAGCCGTGGCTCCGCTACTGAGCTACACACCGACCTGCAAACGCCGTTTCGGCGTCGTCTGGGTTCGGCAGGGACTCGGCAATGTCGATGTTTCCCGCTTCCCCCATCACAGTCATCGTGGGCACTTCGGCCTCCGATTCAGTCTCCGATTCCGCCCCCTCCTTCTCCGCCGCTTCGGCTGAGCCGAGCTGCTTCGCCGCCGGCTCGCTCTCGTCCATCGACGCTGCACGACTGGAGCCGAATATGGCCGAGAGAATCCGGTCAGGGGACCGCCTATATGACGCCTAAATATCACACTAACGCTAAATAAATTAATGTAAAAAACTTCAAACCGATAGAAAACGATGGATTATTCTATGGATAATGCTTTTACATTAGCATTTAAACACAAACGGCAGGCAATGGCGCCCTACTTTCTTTATGCGGGACAGATAAACACACAGGAAGGTGACACGGCGGAAATTACCGAAAGAAAACGACGTAACACGAAATGGCGGTGCACACTGGACTTACAGCTGGGACCAGTCGTTTGGCTTGCGTGAACGTTGTATGCCACAGAAATACAAAATGTCCTAAATGTATTTCACGGTCGTGTTTTATTCACAGCAGTGTGCTAGGAAAAAAGTGTTGTATAAATACAGACTAAAAGACAGTACAGTATATTTTGTAGTTCATTAATTATGACTTGTGATATCCTAAAATGACAAGAAAAACCAGTAAAACACCTCAAAATTTTATTTCTTTTCATTCTCACTTTTACGTTTGGTTTACTACTAAAATGAAATTGTCTTCCATTTTTTTTGCTAAAAGAAAATGGTCCACAATTTTGTTTTATTAAAAAATATATATAAAAATAGTAATACTGTAGATCAATTAACAGCTGAGGTACAATATAAAATTACCACAACCTTTCAAAATAATTCCTTAATTGTATTTAATGAATCTTTGAGGGTTGCAATGTTTACAGCATCACTCTGGTTCATGACTGGTTCATCAGAGAGGCCAGCAGTATGAGCTTGAACGTTGTTTTTTGATCTTGCCAGCTTGCTGTGGAAAGGTCACCTTCTGGCCTGTAGACAAACATAAAAACATTAATATTACATATAGTCATATATTATTATTATTATTAATTTTATTATTATTATTATTATATATTATTAATGTTATAATATTATCTTTCCCTACAGTTAAATTAACAAATTTCAAATTATATGTACAGAACACTGGGTAACAGTATACAGCATTGTGCACAATTGTAAGTGTTGCATAACTGACAGTGGAATATCTTAGAGACATTACCTTCATATTCTTTATTCTGAATTTGCTGTTATTGAAATTTATTGTTGGTTGTTTGTGTTAAGTGACTGTTTTGCTGACCTGGTATAAGAGGTATTATCTTTCCAGAGCTTTCCAGAACAATCTCCAGAGGACACGGCTCCTCACTCCCGGAATCCTCTGCTTGCTTTCTCACTGCAACACTGACTTCTTGTTTCTCCACCAACAAGTCCATCTTATTACCAAGGTAGTTCACACCTTTCACACTTAGCACAGCCAATTCATCAGGAATCAGAGGAGCAAAACACAGACAGTCCTTTTGTACCCTGCAGAGGACAAAAGAGTAGCGATTATCATCACACCAGCTGCAGCACACTAACAGAAATAAACAGTAATGTAGAGTTCAACAAGTTGGTGTGAGTTTGAGTCCCTGTTTGTGTTGTATATCAGTGTGCTTGTGTTTGGAATGCTCGTATACAAGAACATGTGTAGGAGTCAGTGGATGCTCACCTAAAGCCAGTGTACCCAAACAGAAAAGCCTGCAGAAACCCACCCATACCGGTGAGGAAGTTGACCGCTCCAGAGCCATCAGACGACTCACTCCACACCTGCATACAGCAGGCTTGAATCGTAAATTTCAAGCTGCCTATAAGCTCATGAAAAGTAATCTAATGAAAATACTCAAAACAGTCATAGAAGAGTCATTAAAAATATAAATAAATAAACAAGCAAACAAACAAACAAAAGTCTTAGCTGTAACATTTTATTGAACAATTCATATAATAGATAGGGAAAACTGTACCTGGAAGGGACCCTGGATATTCTGAAAGCACTTATCTAGAAGCTGTTGTGCTTTCTGAGCTTCGCTGAGCTCCAACCAACCCACTGCAAACATCCCCTAGTAATGGCAGACACATACATTTACACATACTAGGGCTTGACCGGTATACTGGCTATCTGACATTATCGACTTACAGCATTATTGATATCGTCTGATGAATAGCATGTTTTTAGTTCACTGCCGTGATTCGAACGCAGGATCCCCCAGTGACAAGGCACAAGCTGAGACAGTTATGCCCCTGGGCAGCTCAGTATGAAACACCCTCTATTTCACTATTAACATGTTCACACTTTGCATTGACATATGTTTCGTATCCAGACTGTGTCTGGATAAACTGGCTGTACTCCACTTACTTTCACTAAAACGTGTCCACAGCGTGGCCAGATTAGAGACGATTTAACTTTTCCAGAGTAAAAGGCACATCAACACATACAAAGTTTCCATTTTACTTTTGTTTTCTTTTTTCCCTATTATGATACGAGTTGACAGTCTTTAAAAAATTATATTATACAAGTGTAATAATCCGTGCAATAATCTGAAAGTGCACAAACATCAAGGCATAACAGACCCATCACAGACAAACACTGTAGAGTTTCTCTGCTGCCTCTACAATTAGGAGAAAAGCTTGACTTATTGTGCATGTGTGACCTGGATATTCTTACCCAGGTCATAGCAGGACCATGTGGGTCAGTGACTGCTTCATACCATTCCAGATCATTCCGTCTGACCTCGGGGCTCATAGAGAGACCTAGTGGATATCCTAGCATCACTGCGTCCGCCTGCTTTACTGGACTTCCTGCAAATACATAAAAATACACAACAGACCACAACAGCAGAAAAAAAATTACTTTGTGGACAGTATAAACCAGAACCACATTTCTAATGAGATCAGGCTTCATTCACCAACCGTTCTTAAGAAGAAATTTCTTCTTAAAACCCACTTACTCAGTTTTCATGAAGATTCTGACGTTCACCAACGATTCTGTGGTCTAAGAACATAGCATGAATCTCACATTGACTTTTTCTTAAAACCTTTCTCAAGAACTAATTTAAGAAAAAAATAAAAAAGAGATTGAGAGTGAATGAAGCCCACTGTTTTTATACTCTCTAAATTAGTGGAAAATATACTACCTTTGAAATGTTATTAAAAAATACAAAAGTAACTACCTTAATATATTGCTTTACTGTTGCATTACTACAAAGTAGACAAATGTCTCACCCTTTCTGTAACCATCAAATTCCGGGTGGTATTTTAGTTCTTGATCAAAGGGGATTTTAAGTTTATCAGCCACCTCCTGCCACTCTGGGGGTGCAGGATGCTGCAACAGGTCAGCCAACTCCACAGCAAACTGCAGACTGAGAGAGAGAATATGAAAGATTATTCAGGATGCTCAGGCTTCAAAGAAATTAATGTGTAAATTAATTATGTCTAACAAAGCATGTTTAGATATAGGCCCAATCCCATTTTACCCCTTACCCCTACCACTTAGCCCAACCCCTCCATTTTGCGTGTTCACACCTACAGGCAGGGTGTCCCGATTTTTGTTGGGATAGAGGGGTGGGGCAAAGTGTTAGGGCTACATGGCCCTCCAAATGGAGTTTTTTTTTCAGAAGCAACACTCCAAACAGAGTGTTATGAGAAATCAATGCACAAAACAATAAAGTAAACACATTGTGTGTATCACAAACAGGTTCATCAAATGTTAACAGAATCCAAAGATAGCACGTGGAATAGGTAGGATAACTACAACAAAACATGTTTGCAGACAGTCCTACATACCACAAACCAAACCAACAACATTCCCAGGCATTGAAGATGTCTCCGATTTGCTGCAGACAACCGCAAATGGATGCCTACTGGCATACTGGAAATGTCGGGCAAAACTCATCACGTCTACATAAAAGCCACCAACAACTAGTGATGAGGTGTTGGATTCTTAAGGGGTTGTCCCATTTTGTGGTTCAACCATTACCCCTTGTAACTTAGTTCCAAGAGACTCAAAAGCAAGGGGAAGGCATAAAAATAAAAAAATGGGATTGGGCCACACACAAACATAGTGAAGCATGCAAAAAACACCACACAGTAGAAAGCACACACACCTGTTTTTGGCCACACTGTTTGTGTACACTGAGTTGTCAACATTGTAGTAGTATTCATCAGGAGGCATCACGCCTGATGGACACACAAGCACGTGCACAGAGTGACCCAAAACCTTTTAAAAACACTTCAGTTCTGGCTCTTTCCTGCAAACAGACGTGCATGTGTTTGGTGTGATTAATGCAACGTCACTCTGCTCACCTCTGATATGGTAGTGCTGGTCTTCAGGATTCCAGGTAACTCGAGATACCCAATAATCAGCCACGCCCCAAACCACTTCACTGCCACGCCCCTCTTTAAACATCTCAAGGTCCTTCAAGAGAAGAGATTTTTGTTCTGCATTTGTTTACACCTGGCAGTTCCATGTGTCTTCAGTGATCAGATTTTGTGACTGGAGGATTTTGTGACCCATATTTACCACATTAGTCTCTCACTGCATTTCTTATCAGACAAAAATGTACCGCAAGTCCGCGCAGATGAAAGGGTTGATCTAACCTTTAGATAACATGAACTGCTAATGTGACATGCAAACAAATGGCAGAGGAGATGAAACATGAAACTACGCAGCTGATTTCGTCTCTGCTGTGAGTATGCAGCTGATTAAGCTTTAGATAACATGAACTCAGCACTGTCAAGGACCCATCAAGACACTTTATCAATCACACTACATATGTTATATTGTCATATGCACCCCTGACCACCTCTGTAGGTGGTTTGAATGTCTAGTATCTACTTATGATTGGATCATCAACAATGCATGTTAATGCCAAGTGTGAACAGGGCCTTAGATACGTAGTCTTTTATTGCTGAACGGAAAAGAAGGAGTATGGTCTGGCACCTGTGTGAGGTAGAGGTATTGCTGGAAAGCAAGAATTACGTCTCCGTTAATATGGATCTCCTGTTGTCCGTAAATGTCATCTGGACAGACTTCCTGACCAGATACAGCACTCTCCCATGGGAACTTCAAGCCCTAGTTGAAGAAAAAAAAACAAACACACACACTATTGATGCAGGATCAGATTGGCAATAGGCTGATTTATTTCTTTTGATCAATTTGTGGTGTGATTCTATAATGTAAATAATGTGAGCCAGTGTTGCTATTATGGATGCTGCTATTAAGGATACAATGATACGTGAATTTCGCGCCGATGCCCATATTGGCTGATGTTTTTCATGTACATATGTATGCTGATACAATGCAATTACATAAAAAAATATAAGATATATAAACTGGGACTAGATCTAACTGGATTAGCATTACAGAGAAATATAACTTTTATTTATATAGGGTTAGAAATGAATTTGGCTCTTCAAGTTCAATAAATGTGTCATCAAATATTGATTTGAAATATCTGTCAAATCTAAACACCCGTCTAACGCCAGTAATTTTTTTAAAGCTAATATTTGCTGATATTTATATGATTCCGATCATATCCCTAGTTGCTATTCCTTGCCAAAATTGTCAGCTGTTTGGAAGTATTTCAAAGTGTGCCGAGAGCCTGAGTTTCATATCAGTGTGTTGATTTAGCATGCAAAGTGTGAGTTTTGGTTAGAGAGAAAATAAAGAATAATACTGTCTTTGCCTGCTGTTGCTTAAAAAACACTTTTCCAGAATCAGTCATTAAAATGAATGATCTGTACCCTTAACATATATAGACATATAGCAAATCTAAGACTCAACATAACATACATTCAGGTGTAATGAAACCAATCTCTAAACTGGTCACACAAGGATAATGTGGACACAGACTTTACACACACACTCTCAGAAAAAAAAGGTACAAAATTGTCACTGGGGTGGTATCCTCAAGGGTACATCTAAGTACCTTTAGTCAAGGAACATAATTGTACCATAATGAAAATAATATCCATTATTGTACCACTGAAATTATATTTTTTAATGCTTTAATGTCCTCACCAAGAAAAAAAGCAATGGAATTTTATTTTTTGTATTTTTTATTTGTTTGGGCAATAATAAAAACAATTGGTGGTTTTCTTTTTTGTTTTTTTTACCCCATAATTTTTTAAATATTCACTTCTTCCAAACGGTCGAGATGGCACTTTGTGGCATGTATAGTGACTCGAAATGTGCTCTACCAAATGGTTGAGCAGAACATTAAAGGGTTAAGTTGTGTTGACTCCACACACCCCGTCTCGTCTGCAAGCTTTTTATTTTATTGTTCTGTTTTAAAACATTAGCTTACGAAAAGGTCCAAATATGTACTTTTCCATGGGGAAAAACTTATTTAGGTACACAGTTGGGACCTTAAAACCACTGTTGTACCTTTGAGGGAACATTTACACTGTTTGTACCTTGATGAGTGAAAAATGTACCTGCACAGAACCTTCATTTCTAACAGTGTACACAAAAGCATCCAGTAACTATTCTTATACCTTATAGCCCTGCTGCTCAGCATTGGCTTTGGCACCTTCTATTGTCCGCACTCTGTAATCCAGGACAGCTTTGGCCAGTTTAGGATAAAAAAGGGCAATGCTGGGATAGATCCATGTATCCTAGGGGAACAGACAGAACCAAGAACCATTTACACTAAGATGTAGTGCAGAGACAAGAAATGTATTGTTTTAACCAAAACAAATTGTGTCTTTTACAGCAGCGTCCAGCTCCGGTCCAAGAGGGCCTAAGTCCGGCACAGCTCAATTCAACAATTATCAGGTTTAGTAAGTGTATTTGTGCCAAAAATTAACCAAGTTGTGGTTAATTCTGGTCTTTGAGGACCACAACTGAGTATTCCTGATGTAAAGATAGCACAACTAGGTTAATGAAAAACAAAACTTATTTTTGGTATTATATTTTGGCTACATTCTACTTTCCTGTCAAGAGTACGCTATATGGAAATATTTAAGATTAAAATATGAACCACAATAAAGATCATCATATTAAGTGTTAATAAACAAACCAGTTTTGCATTAGCAAAACAGTAATGCACCATTTAAAAATGAAAATACAATGATTTTCTAAAATTCGTGTTTGTAAATAAAAATAGTCTGATGCTTGTTCTTGCTTACCTGATCCCAGAAGACATGTCCCCAGTAATCCTGCCCCTGTCCCCCGTTGGACAGTCCTCCAGGGCTGACGCCCCCAAAAAGACTTGGTGCCTCTGTGAGTGAGGGAAAAGCACTGAGGAGGTAGAACATGCAGCCAATAACAGCTCGACTCAAGGGTAATGGTCCTGCCAGCTCCACCCTACTGCCCAGCCACAGTTCTGCCCAAGCCCTTAGATGGGAAGTCTGCAGGTCACCATGTTCAAAGAGCTCCAGGCCAATGTCAAAACAAGCCTGGACACTCTCACTGCTCTCTGCAGCTGCTACCAGGAAGCCCCAGCGAGACTGGCTCTGGTCAGGCAGAAGAGTGACCGAGGAGGTCAGCGGGGTCCAGATAAGATGCACGCTGGGACTAAAACCTCCAGGGACCTCCGGGGATTTAGTCTGCCCAAAGATGTGCCTGTTGTATTAAATGGAGCTTTAGTGTTGGTAACTGAAATTGTAAACAAAATGAATATGTATGATCTACTTCATCTGAAGGCCTGCATACTGAACCAGATTTGCTCCAATTCAACAAATATTTGGGTTTTAGTACTTGTGCTCAAACGCACCTCCCTCCTTTATAATCAGGAGCATCTTGGAAGGTGATGTCATCACTATATGGGGTGAAGGAACTGTCAAGAGTGACTGTGATGGGTTCCTCAGTGGTCTTCTGGCGCTTCAGAAACACCTCCATGACCAGCAAGTTGGGATACTGTCGGTGTGCATAAAACAGCTGGGACGCCTGCACACTGAGATGTAAGTACAGAGTGAGTGAATATACCTGCAAAAGACAGAAGAGAGGAAGGGAGGGGAGGAAAGAAGAGAGTTACATTCTGTCATCTATCATAGTTTTCATTTGCTAGCTAAGCTAAGCCGAGAGCAGAGAATCACAGAAACAAAGAGATGACTGATATATACATCATTTGAAGCACAAGTATATTGTGTATACCAGTGTGTGTGTCCAAAGTATACGAGTGTGTTCCCTCCTCCTCTGTCCTCATCTTGACTGCCAGTGGACACGGTATATCTGCACGGTGACAGGCTCCTTTCTCTCCATTATAAATTCCACCCATGTGCATGATTGTCCCAAACACTCTCCAGCCCAGCTGCCCATTGGCAAGTGGAGGAAGGAACCGGGGGTCAGAGGGAAGCGTGTCAGAGGAGAAGATATACGGGTCAACAGGGTCGGTCATCATCTTCACGAAGTGCTGTTCAATGTGTAAAGGAAAATATGCATTTTAAAAAAAAAATGTGCAGATTCTTTTTGTACATTTTTTAAATTACTGTGCAAAAGTCTATTGTTTACTTTGCAGTATTTCTCTACATGTTCAATATAACACAAAACTGGTTACACACAAAACTATTCATTCGTCTAATTCCCATGCGTCAAACACAAGGCTGCGAGCCACATCAGGCCGGTGACACGGTCCTATTCGGCCCGCGAAATTATTTTAATTTTCTATTCTTATTGGCCCGTTTCACCCTGAGATGCACTACAGTTCCCAGCATGCACTGCCACACAGTGTGCGGTCTGACCCCCCTCCCCAACAACAATCTCTGGGCCAGCGGTTACACAAAAAGAAAAGATGCCAGGTGTCTAGTTCAAGCAAATAGGCAGTTAAAAAAACTAACTAAAACAACTTATTTTTATCATATCACAGTACCGACCTCAGTCACACAGGACCTGGGTTAAAAAAAAAATCTTGACACCTTTCAATGCAACTTTAACATTTAATGTCACATAGCTTATTCCTAAGTCTGTCCCATATATACCATTTTCTTTAGTAACTCAAGAGAAGAATATGCTGTTTCTTTGTGGTTTGCAACTGTCCATTTTTTTAGCTTTTCTGAAAAAAGGAACATTTCCAAAATAGACGAGAGAGCAGAGTCAGGTGACCAACTGTTCAAGACAATTCCTGAAAATAACGAACACAGCTGAGAACAGCCACCTGAACACAGCTGAGCAGAGAAAAGAGGTTAAATCTACAGTTAGCTAAAGCAGCAAGTAACGTGAAAGAAACTTTAAAGCAGAAACTCCTCAGTCTCACAAACTCTGCACAGCACAGAACCCGCAGTGAAACACGGAGAGAAGGGAGGAAAACGGTGGAGGAAGTTGACTAAATTAACAGATCCTTACACGAGCACAGCTGGTGAGAGAAAAGGCTGCAGTGCTGCTCCGTTCGCCACTTCACTCGGTTTTCCGGCCTACTTCGCTGAAGATTAATGAAAAAGGCCTCGGCGAAAAGTCAGCCTCAGTCACTCAACTCCTCCACAGCTGTGGGGAAGAGTGGGCGGTCCTGAAGGCGGAGAGTCCTCCCACTCTATATTAGTGGTCCAGGATCAGCTCTCCTCACTCACGACTCAACCTCAGCCTAAAGAGGAGCCCTGCTAAACCGCTCTGAGATCAGCTTCAGAGAGTGACTGCTGACGATACGTTTAGGATTCACACTCAAATGAAGGAGTCAGTGGGATGTAATGGCCTGCAGTGTCTGATCACATGACCAGCAGTCTAACGCTTTTCCTACTCTGAGTGCAGCTTGATACACAAACACAGAACTTTACAGTAGAGCTTTGTGTGCCGGTGAGCTGCCATAGAAAGAGATCACTCTTCATTTGACAGCCTGATGGGAGACTGTGCTATGAGTTGTAATGAATAACGGGGGATTAAAGACAACACTGCAGTTTGACCTTTTTTTTTGACCTTTTTTGTTTTTAGGAATGGTGCAAATGCACAAGGGCATTTTGGGGCCACTGTATGTCTTAATGATCCCACTTTTAAAATGCTGTGGCCTAAGACAAATGCCAGTAGAGAGAAACATTTGCAATGACTTTGTTTATTAAATATTAAATAGTTAGTGTAGTAATTACATTATTATAGCGTGTGCATTCATGTAACAGTCACTACAGCTAGTAGCCAGTGAAACTACAATTTACAACTTGTGTGTCTTTCTGATGACAAATAATTTAAGGTTAATATGCTTCAGGAACCTTCTGTCCCTCGTCAAGGGGTGTGGTAGGGGTTACCTTTGCATTTTCACTTCAAGAGAAAAAATACTGTTTTACTCTTTCCTCAAGGGGAGTTGTTTTTTTAAGCAACAGAAGCAACAGGCAGCAACGACAATATTATTCTTTAAAAACAAAAACTCTTGCATTGGTCACTATTATCCAAAGACAAAAAATTACATTAACTGACACCCCACATTTTTCCAGGGAATCAATCCAAGTAATGCAATCATCAAGATATGTGTTGAACTACCAGGTGTAACTTGCCCACAGAGAATAAGATTCACTTGAATTCATCTGTGAAGTAGATTATAGCAGTTATTTGTTTTTCCAGTTTAGTGTGTGTATTTATCTGCAGTCACTGTGAAAGTAGAGCAGGACGGCTTTAAACAGCCCTGCTGCTCTGTAAGAGGCTAATGTGGTAGATTGTTATATCAAGGAAAACTACTGCATAACAATACCCTTAAAAATTAGTAGTAAGGCTTGACCAACAGTTTTAGAAGTCTGCAGAAAAGCAATATCTGTCAGATTTAACCAATGGCACTGCATGTTTACGATACTACTGGCAAGTAGGAAATACTAGACTTTCCTCATCATTCACCTGATCAAAGTCCGGCAGACCAAGTGGTTCATGTGTTGTAGAGGTTAATTCCAACAAAACAAGCACTAATACTGGTTGATCATTGCCAAGGAACACACCTCACCTCTGCTTATGTCTGCACATCAGAGTTAATGATATTGCTTCAACAGAGAATATGTGCCCAAGTATCATCTAATGGTAATAGGTGTCTGATGTGGGTACCTGAAAGATGATAAAATTGTCTCATCGTTATAAACTTATATTGACAGTTTATGTATGTGTAGACCCAACACTGTAGCATTGTTATTTTGACTCTCTTAACATGTACTGGGCAGGGGAGTTGTGCTTTGTGTACATGTCTTTAACCTCTGGCAGCCAAAACATTTAGTAAAACTTCTGGAGATCCAAGATTTTCTTCAGACACAGAAACAAACTGAAATCTGTGTAGAATATAAACTCAGCTTTTGACAAATATAAGCAAAGAAATTTCAGCCTGTTGGTGCTCAGGTGTGAACGTACAACACTGGTTTCAATTTACATCATTTCAATGGGCTCCCACAGCCTCTGCCTTCCAACACTGTCTTTAGGTGATTGAACTCCAGCATGCAGCCCGCTAAATGTGTCATGCACTAGTGAAACTCAGACTACAGGCCTATACATGCTTCTCACTGTGTTGCCCGTGTGTGTTATATCCAGTCAAAACATTAAGTACAAGTTATTTATTTTTCAAGAGATATTTCTGATGGAATTCGATATAATCCACTTACATAAGAAAAAGGGGAGAATCAAAGGAAAATAAGTGGAAAAATAAAACTGGAGTTAAAAAAAATGATAAGACACAGAAGATGGGTCGCCTATCAACTGTGCAAGACCTGGTGGACCATCAAAACTGTCACCATCAGAAAAACAGTACTTCAAGCTTTTATCACTCTGATCTGAAAAAATCCAGAAGACAACTCAGCACTATGAGTCTGAAAGGATGTGTAGCTGGCAAGAAGCCCAACTTCTAAGACTGAACTTTGGAAGTGTGGAAAAATATTCTTGCAGATTTCTTTGAAAAACTGAAAGCAAAAATGGAAACAGCAATAAAAGCAGTGAACACATGAAATACTGACAAAATTTTTATATATATATTGTTTTATTAATTGTTGAGACTCCTGTGATATTTCTGAACGAACTTCTACTTAACTGCTGTTTTGACTGGAATTAAATAAACAAAGGGCAGTCACGCAGTACTATATGTATGTAAGTATGCATGTAAGTAAAACAATCTTTAACAATAAACCACAGGGAAACCGATTTACTCAAATCTGAAATCCAACATCTGAACAGTAGAAGCAGGTGTGCTAGTTTAGGTTGGGACCCTCACTCCCCCAGGCCGGCAGATCTGCTATATATAAGCACACGTCTCCTCTTGCCCTTTTACTCGCAGGCCTCCAGATGGTGCTCTGACACAGTTGGGTTCAGCTTGGCTACGTGCCGGAGGTCGGAACTCCGAACCCTGGGAAAAGAGCAGCTTTGTCCTTATAAGGCTGCAATCCGTCCCCTATGCTTTTCCCTTTACTGCTCTCTTCCTCTCTTCTCCCTCCCTCGCTCACTCTCTTTCCTTCTCAGACCTTAGAGATATTTACAGCAAGGCCAGCTCGGCGTACCTTATTAGGAGCTGCGCTTGTTGTCAGCAGCTACATCCTATCCTTGTAGGACAGCGGACAGACTACTAGTGTGCGCAGATGGGACAAACAGATGAGGACGAAGGTAGCGTTCTCCTAAAGGTCATTCAGTTTTCCAGGCATGCCTATAAACGTACACGTGCATGCAAAAACCCTGTGAAGCACAGAAGATGCTTCTCTCTGGTCAAAAAAATGCATCAGTCAAGAGTAACAGCATGAAACAAAAATGAAAGAATCAATGGAAAAAAACAGAAATCATATCTAGCTCTGATATTTTCTTATTACTTAGCTGTTATCTTTTAGCTGCACTAATGTGTGTCAATCAGTACACACAATGCAGTGTTTCGGTGTTCGCACCCAGTCTATCCACATTCCATTTTGTGACTTCCTCTCTCTCTCTTTCTCTCTCTCACACACACACACACACACACAGATACACTCTCTGTGGGAATGTTATATTCACTGCTCCAGCTGTTCCTCTACCCCCCCCCCAACGATGCAGGACATCTGCTGGGCAGGCACACAAGCATACATTAGAGAGAGTGAGGGTGAGAGAGAGAAGAGAGAGAGAGAGAGAGAGAGGGTGAAAAGAGAAAAGGGGGAGAGAGAGAGAGAGAGAGAGAGAAAGAGAGAGAGAGAGAGAGAGAGAGAGAGAGAGAGAGAGAGAGAGAGAGAGAGAGAGAGAAAACACACTAGCATCCTTTTAGGCTGATGAGGGCCAGTAGTTGCTGTAATGCTGTACAGTATCTTCCAACCCGAGTCCAGTTTCATCCCTATTTGCTACACGTCTTACCTGAAAATAAGCGTGCATGACACAAAAATAAGCACCCCAGAAAACCAGGCACACACTGAATGAGAATGTTTTAAAAATAATACTTAAGACACTAAGCTACAAACACACACAACATTTTATTAAGTGCTGACATTCATTTTATATATATTAAAAAACAACATGTGGAAGAAAAGGGTATCAATATCACATTACATTTTTATGGCGTTATTATTATTTCAAAGGGAATAATATTTGTCCATTTATATAATAAACAAAGTTACCCTCCTCGTCTCCAAAACAACAGGGCCGAGGAACTGATGCAAACAACGAAAACACATGAAAATAGCGCTCTATTCTTCACCATTCTATTAATAAAGTGTAGGAAAAATACATGATGCATAGCATGGTAGACTTGTGCACAACAGCAGAGAGTCAGTTGTCAGTTTGCACTGATCATGTGTGTAGTGTGCATGAGCTGCATTGATTTGATGTCATTGATTGTGTAGGGTTGCCGTGCTTCGAGGCAGTATTGGACTGGGTTTTAAAGTGGTCCCAAAGTTGGCAACTCAGACTAAGAGGAGACGTATGGCTAGATCAGCCTTACTCTGAGCTTGTGTACGTGTGCACATGCGTGCGGAGTGTATGTAAGGTGCAAAATGACCGCAGACCGAAGCTGCCTGAGACTTGTGGAATGTGTATTGACGTGTGTGTGGCACACTTGCGTGAATGTTGTGCACATTGTGTGTGTGTGTGTGTGTGTAAGAACATTGCACACGCCTCGCTCTCTGGCTGTGTGAGTGAGTGACTGCACACATATCATCTCTACCTACTGTCCTCCTGAAGATCCTGATAAACAGAGAGCTGATGAATGTGTGTATGTGTTGAGGGGTAGCTTCACCCACCCACACACTGGAGAGTAAAGGAGGCGAGTCCTCAGGCATGTGTGGATCAGGTTCAAACCGAAATTCAACTAAATGGGACACGTAAGAAAGTGACATTCTCTTCCCTTCTCTCTCTGTCTCTCTCTCACTCTCCTTCCTTCTTCTTTGGCACACTAGGATGTGAGGTGGGGGAGGGGGGTGGATTGTCCCTCGTTCTATTTTCCCCCCTCTGGTTTGTTCGCGTGTTCTCTCTCGTGTTGTCTATTTGGAGAGTTTACTGATCACTCGAATGAGAGCTCCGTTTTCATCCTTCAGCCTCTGGTTATCCGCTTTTAAATCCCCCAAGACCTACAACACATACATACACATACTGTAGAACCCATAGACAAGATTTATATAGCAAGAAGAAACCAAGCTCATATGTAAAGTAATATAGTATTAATAGGAGTAATTATTAGTAATAATAATAGTAATAATAATGAAAATAATAAAACAACATACATATAATAATAGTTTTATTTAGTAATTTCTCAAAGTTGCTTTACAAACATTTAAATAAATTTGAAAATTAGGAATAAAATAACAGATGACAATATAAAATACAGGACTAAAGTGACTGAGTTTGAACTAGGGTAGTTCACGGGTACTTAAGTACTCGGCTAACCGTTTGAGATGCCAGTATTCAAATATTAAAACCACTATTTCGTGTTTCATCACAAGAAGACAGAGGAAACACACAGACTAACAATTCAGTGAAATGCTGCTTTTATGTTTTAACAGGACAGTAAAATGTTACAGTTTTGCTCCTGTTTGTATGTTTATTACTCATTGCCACTTTGAAACAAGTCTGCCTAAACGTGAGTGCACTGCCAAGGATGCACTAGTAAAGATGTGATTGAAAAGGCAGCTGTCGCATGGTTTTACTGCTAACTACACTAACTACTCTAGCTGATGTTAGCTGGGTCCAAAACAGTGGAAATATATTTCTCTGAAAAACGAACATGTAAGATGAGTCCTCATCACCATCCAGTGACACAAAAACTACAGATTTTTCCTCAGCTTTTTAAAATAATGAAACGTTTTCAAATGTATTCCTCTGCCTGCTGCAAAATTTTTATCCTCTTAACACCAGTGCTATCGCCTACATTAGCAAGCCTCCATGTCCAGGCCTATGTTACTTTCAGTCTTCCCTTCCCTGCTGTTAACTGGATATCCATTCATTAGCTCTTGTGAATACTCAAATATCAAAATTAGTAGGAAATGCACATCTTTGCTGAGCCAAGCCTTTTGTTATTGTGTGCTGCTCTTACCTTCAGCTCTTCCTCCAGGTCTGCTGCACGTCTCTCCAACATCACCCTCTCCTGAGCGAGAGAAAGAAAGAGAGAGATTTTTAAGAGTTGTGAGATACAGTGTGTGGTGCATACACATCTTCAGGAATACATGCGATGTGAGAAGAGAAAGGGAGAAACTGTGGAATGCCTGTGCTGATACAGGAACCCATAACCCATAACACGTTATTGAGGCTGATACCAACATGCAACAATAACCAGCAATTTTCCTTTTCTTTTTTTAAAACAAGTTCACAATATAATCTATACATCATGTAGACTGAGTGCAAAATAGTTCTCAACATTGATCACTGATTTTAAACACAGCCTTGACAGCTAAAATCAGCCTTTTTTTAGAGAATTATTGAAAACCTTTACATTATTTTTGTAAATATTTGATATTTATTTGTCTGTGGGAGCTAAAAACTAGCATGCTGGATTATGAGCTGTAATTATTATCATCAGATCAATAACAATAACTACAGTTTCTCATTTTGCAGCCACTAATGTATCATGCAGCCCAAGCAGAAACATACCTTTTTCTCTAGCTCCAGTAGAGCTGTGCAGTCACTGAACCGCTCCTGCCTCTGTAACACACGCACACGCACACACACACACACACACACACACACACACACACACACACAGTTACATCAAACCTGAATCAAATAAGTGGTTTTGAAATGTGCAGTATGCGTAATTACATGCAAGTGTTTGTTTGTTTACTTGTGTTGCTTTCTCCAGCTCCATTCTGGTCATTGACACAGTTCTCTGTGTATCTTGTAGTTGTGACTGCAGCCGACTGTTTTCCCTAGATAGCTCCTCAAACAACTAACACACACAAACACCGACGTACGCACAAGCACAGACATGAAAAATAACAAATGATCATAAATTCTCTTATTGACATACATCATTTAAATCTGTCTGTTGAAGAAAAAAAGTGACACCAGCTTTTACCTTTTTATAATCCTTAGTGTTTGAGCCCCCTGCCATTATACAGTCATTCAAGGCTAGATTAGACCTAAGAAGAGAGAGAGAGAGAGATTAATTATCTAAGACAGAGGATTTCTCAACCAAGTAAGCCAAAAGGCCAAAGGTCAAAGTCATACCTGATGCTCATATGCCTGTCTGTCTGTATTGAGAGAGGAAGGGAGAAAATACACAAGTAAGAGAACATCTGTATACACACACATGTCATAAATAAAAAATTGACAGTGAGTGCTTAGTGCAGCATTTCCCAATCCAGTCCACTGAGACTCCCAATCAAGCCACAGTTTGGCCCTATCCCAGCTCTGTACCACGTGTTGAGTGTTCTTAATGCCTTGGATCAGCAATGTGGGAACCCAGGATCAAACAAAAATGTGGACTGGATGGAAGTTCCTGTGGACTGGCTTGTGGAACATTGCTTTACTGGCCCTGTCACTCAGATAAATCCTGACCGCTAATTGGCCAAACCTGTGGGTCCTGCCCACCACTGCTCTCTTCCTCTGCGCTGGGCTCATTATCTTCACTCTGCACATGCACACAGAAGTCAGAGGTCAAACCTCGGTCCCGTTATTCATCACTTTTATCTGATCACAGATCCTCCTCCTCACCTCTCCTAGTCTTTCTCTCCTCCGCGCTCTCGCTCTCCTCCTTTCCCTCGCTCGCTCCTCGCTGTCCCCAACACTGTCCTCCGCATCTGAGAAACATCAAACACACAAGGTAGAAAGGTAAACAGAACACATCTGTGTGATTTGTTTAGGATCAGAGGGTAAGGGTCGAAGGTAAAAGGTCACCTCTCCTGTCAGCGGGCCGTGGAGCACCAGGAGGGTGTGTGAGTCCCAGTAGATCAGACTTCTGCAGGTTTGCAATACGAGACCTCCAACTCACCTCCTGAACACATACACATAAATGCACACAGAGAAAGAATACAGTCACATTCTGAAAACAGTATGACAAAATGGGCTGAAATTATAAATGAGAAAAAAAGCCGGCAGTTCACAAGCAAAAAAGGAAAAAAAAAAACGTTCAAAAAAGCTGTTGGATATCAATTTTCTATGTAGGCCTACAAAAGCAAATAAATATTTTTCTAATTTTATAAGAAGTTCCTTATGGTGATGCAGATTTGTTGTGACAGTAGTCATTACTGCTTCTTAACACATTTTACAAACAACTCTGGGAAGAAGAACAGTCATCATATTTGAAGCATTTTTACAGGCTAGCAGTTCAGGACAGAGGTTTGTGAGCTGTGCATGTGTATGTTCTGTGGGGGTTTAACAGAAAGGTTAAGTCACTATCTCTCCATGCGGGAGAGCACAGCTTAAGCCTAGGGAGGGAAGCACTTGCTGGTTCTAATGTCTAATTACCTCATGTGTAAGGGGATGTGTTTATTGCGGAAACTCATATCACAAAACCAATAAAAATATAATTTATCATGCAGCCTCAAAAGCTGCACAATGAAACAGTGCTGAAGGAATTCACTTGTAAGATGCTGAAGCTTAACATTAACTGAACAATCTCAGATCATCAAACTCAACCTTTCTCACCCCTTCCTCTCCCTTCTTCTGCTTCCCTTCTTTTTCCTCCTCCTCTTTCTTCCTTTCTTTTCCCTTGCTTTCCGTCTTTATTGTCTTCTCTGCTTCCTGGAGATCAGTAAGTGTAACACCCTGGAGACAAAACAAAACTGTTACACGTGTAAAAATACACACACACACACACACACACACACACACACACACACACACACACACACACAAACCCCTTCTATTTTGAGTTCTATTTTAAAGTTGAGTGCAACTGGTTAAAAAAAAGGTAAAGAAAAGACAAAAAGGTCTGTGAATGCTGCACAATGTCAACATTAGGGTCAAAGGTCATGAGTTTAGGGCAGGCTGACCTGAGTGGAGCGTCTAGACTGACGTGCATGTCTGGAGCGAGCCTTCCTCTGAGCTTCAGCCTCTTCATCACGCACTGGAGTCAGGTATGACCTACACACAAACACACACACACACACACACACACACACACACACGGCCTCAATAAAACTCTGTAAACAGAGCGTGTGTTTGACTCAATTAAACAAGGTTTAAAATGTGGTCTGGAACTCGTCCTCGACAAACTCAATAAAAGTCTCTCTCTCTCTCTCTCTCTCTCTCTCTCTCACAGACACACACACACACACACACACACACACACACACACACACACACACACCAAGAATATCACACTCACTTGCGCCTCTGCTTTGTCTCCTGCTCGCCTGTTGTCGTAGTTGTTGTTGTAGTTGTTGTCGTGGAGACGGGTTCCTTCTTCTCTGACTGTTCCTGAGCTAGTCTATGTGAGACCAAGAATGAGTGTTTGGTGTACAGCAGAACACATAAAAACACTGATATGCAGACAGACAAAACATGCACACCTCTGAGAAACAATATTGTTGAGGCGGCTAAGTCCAGAGGTTCCCTGTGAGGTGACTGAGGTCACTGAAGGGTCATCGAGTTTCCTTCCATAAGACGAGCTGGAGACACATACAGAGTTAAAAGCAGCTCAGATAAACACCATCCATGTGCCTGCTGCATACGACTGAAAGACATTGTTTTTAATATGTAAATTGCAATTTTTAATATCAAATTTGCTACATGAAGTGTGCAATTTTCACACTGCAAGAGCTACAACTTGCCTAGATTATCAACAATGTTGTTTTAAGTTTATAAGGGCCCATATCATGCAAAAAACTCTCTTCTCTCACTTCATTTGCTGGACTGAGAATAGTCTACCAACCAAAAATATCCAGCCAACAGCGTCCTGTGGGCAGCATCCTCTGACCACTGATGAAGGACTAGAGGATGACCAACACAAACTGTGCAGCAAAAGATGAGCTATCATTTCTGATTTTACATCTACAGGGTGGACCAACGAAGTAAGAGTGTCTAATAGAGTGGACAGAGAGTGGACAGTGAGTTTAAAAACTCCAGCAGCACTGCTGTGTCTGACCGACTCGTACCAGCGCAACACACACTAACACACCACCACCACGTCAGCGTTACTGCAGTGCTGAGAATGATCCCCTACCAAAATAATACCTGCTCTATGGTGGTCCTGACCATTGAAGAACAAGGTAAAAATGAGGCTAAGAAAGTATGCAGAGAAACAGCAGAACTACAATCTATACTTGTAGAACTACAAAATGCACCTATATGGTAAGTGGAGCTGATACAATGAACAGTAAGTGTAGAAACAAGCAGGTGGTTTTACTGGCTGAACAGCGTATATAAATATTGTCAGTTATTGTAAGTTTCAAAACATTCCATTCACTACCCGCTCCACCTATATGGACACCATTGAATTAAATGTTTCTGCGAAAATCTAGGATATGGGCCCTTTAATTGGGGAAATTTAACCTAATAATACAGAGCTTGTGAACTGCCGGTAGATGGGTTAGACCAACCAGAAGCAACATTCATGTGCTGTGTACATGACAACACAACCACAACTAACAGGGAGGCACACCACATTTGGTTTTCAAGTCTTAAGCCAGAAAAAGGGAATTTGCTGGACTTCTTGCAAAAAAAACAAAAACAAAACAAACGAAAAAAACAAACCAAAAGAAAACAAAATTAACAAAAAAAGGAGAAAAAAAAACAAACATGCCTGGACCACAACCTTTCAGAAAATAATTTGCAATACTGGTCAGAAAAACGTGATTAGATATTTTTCCCCAAATCGTTCAGCCCTACTGCTGCAGTGTGTTTGTGTGTATGTGTGTGTGTCACTAACCTGCGAGGTAAAGAGGGGTTCTGGCCTGCAGGCTCACTGCTTGACTGGCTGTTTAACCTGCGTGTGTATGAGGAGCTGCGGCTCAACCAGCTACACCAAGACAAAAACACAGGTCAAAAATGATCCCAGGAACCCTCCCAAGACATACATACAAACATATGTCCAAAGGTTTGTAGGCACTCCTCCTAATTAATAAATTTAGCTACCTTAAGGTTGCTGACACATATTCAATTACACACACAGCTTGAATACTTTCCATTGAAAGTACTGTTAATAGAACAAGTTGTTCTGTAGCAGCGCATGCCAAGCGTTGGCTAAAGGGATATAAAGCGCCCCCAGCATTGGACTGTGGAGCAATGGAACTGTGTACTCTGGAGTGATGGAGCACCATCTAATAGCTCTGGTATGAGTCCGAGTGACGTCTGTGATCCAGCACTAATCATCCAACATCAGTACCTGACCTCACTAATGTTCCTGTGGCTGAATGCTAGCAATGTTCCAACATGTAGTGTAAAGTTTTCCTAGTATAGGAGAGGCTGATACTGCATCAAAGGGAGAATAACCTCCCTATTAATACTCCGGATTTCAGAAGAAAGAGATGAGCAGGTGTCCACAAACGTTTGGACATAGATTCTGCATACAAATGATTGTTAACACACAAACACACCTGCTGGAGTTGTCTGGAGTAGTGCCAGTGCTGGTGTTGGTGTCTGCAATGCTGAACAAGCGTCTGGACGGAGTGGGCTGTACTCTTGCTAACCTGGGCTCCTGCAGAAGAAATGACATGTTAGAGCAAGGAAACCACTAAAATGTGCAAGACAGGGAAACCACTGAAATAACATAAAAGTAAAGCTGCTTTCAATGTGGTATGTGCTGCATTTGCTGCTCACATTGGCACAATGTGCTTTTCATACCGAAGTAGTCGCTGATTAGGTGCAAAAGCAGGTGGCGCTCTCAGATAAAACTAGCCTTTTGTCCAAGTTGGAGCGAATTACCAGACATGCCTGCCTCTCATATTGGATGCACTGAGACTTGGCTGAAGAGTGCTGCACAAAAATTGAAAATATTTCATCTTTATATGACCCTGCACATCTGCCACGGCGCACTCCATTCTCTGCCATGTCTCCGCCACCCATCCCATTGAAAACAATGGGAAAATAATGAAAACAATGTTTGGAAGCGCTGCAGTGAAATTTCCACGTTTAGTACGAGAGCAGCTAAGGAGCTGAGTGAACAAGGATACAGATGGAAGTACTTTGAAAGTGTGTATGTGTGCAGACAACCAAAAAGTAGGACTGGTGGTGTACTTTTGAGACTAATCCATGTCAGTAACATTTAAAAAACATTTGTTGGCTGCAAAATGTGTAACTTGATCGACCCATTCTGACTCAACCAGTACTGTTACTGTTAGTCTGTGTTTTTGTTTTGCTGCCTGTCAATTTGCATTAATGGCACCAAAGGACCGTATTCTGTTGAAAGGTATAAGATGTAACAGGTACTCAGTTTCGGTCTTGGAAAGCCCAGAAGCCCAGATACATCAAGCATCAACTAAGGGCTATTGATGATTGCCTTTTGTCAGCTCACTGTTGCTCCTGTGAAAATCTGCACTCAAACATCAGCTGACATCAAGGGGGCAGTCGTGGGCTGGAGGTTAGGGAACCAGCCTTGTGACTGGAAGGTCGCCCGGCTCGATCCCCTCAGCTGACAGTGCGTGACTGAAGTGCCCTTGAGCAAGGCACCCAACCCCCAACTGCTCCCCGGGAGCCGTGGATAGGGCTGCCCACCGCTCCGGGCAAGTGTGCTCACTGCCCCCTAGTGTGTGTGTGTTCACTAGTGTGTGTATGTGGTGTTTCACTGCACGGATGGGTTAAATGCGGAGGTCTAATTCCGATGTGTTCAGACACAGTTGGCTAAAAAAAAGGTTCATTTAATTCATTTTCATTTCATTTTCACATCAGACAAGCATGTACTTAATGCGCCTGTGAAAAAGGGAACAACTCTCTATAGTAGGATGTGGCAGTAGTTTGTAATTCTGTGACTTATATATTCTAGATGTCCGTGTTCAAGCCAAACCTAGAGCATGAAAGTGAAAGTAAACCAATGTTTGAGTGTTTGTACATTAAACAGTGAAGTAAAATGCGTGGTTGGTGCATATTCATAATTACATGACAAAGTAAACAAGTCTATGAAATGACTGAGTATCTTATGCTTTATTATCTATGTTCGGTGTGTTATCAAAGCTCCTTTAGAGCTTTTCTGTGTCTGCGCTCATTCATAACTATATTAAATATTTTCTCACTGGTGATATTCAAACACTGTTTGTTTAAAATTGGGGCACTCGAACAGCAAAAGTCCTAAAAATGCCCATTGGTAGTGATAAGACTTTGCGACTTGCACTGGTGAAAAAGAGAAAAATAGGCTGTTTCCTGTGTTCCTGCCCTCTTGAGAGTAATGCTTGCATTCTTTTTCTTTCGTTTCTCTCTTTGTACGCTGATTTACAACTTTCTCATAGCTGACCGCCGATGCTGTTTCGACATGCTCAATCTGGCCAAATGGCGCTGACAAGCGGTGACCAGAGCCAGCGCCGCAAGACACACTGCACAAACCATGCATGACGGTCGGCCACCAACACTCACCAGCAGCCTGATGGCATCTGAAGGCCAACAGTCAGCTTGGAGCATCAGGGCCTATTTTCTAGCATAGATTGATGATTTCAACGCTCTTGGAAAATGGTTTCTATGGAGTCCCACCTATTGGGGCAGGTGTATTTGAGCAGGCAATAGTTGAAACTGTGTCCCCAAGACTGGAAATGAAAACCCGCTCTACCACACCTACTAAACCTGATAATTAACTAACAAGCTGAATTAGGTGTGTCTAAACAGGGAAATCGCCACTGTGTCGGACTGAAGCTGAGTAACACTGTATTACGATATTTTTGCAGTGTGTGTGTGTGTGTGTGTATGTGTGTGTGTATGTATGTATGTATGTATGTACGTACAGTGGGGTCCAAAAGTCTGAGACCACATTGAAAATCAGGAATTGATCAAATGAAGAGGAAATATTATGAGATTAAAAGATTATGCACTATTTCTAGGTCACTTTTCAAATTTAAGCAAATTTGTGACACTAACCACGTTAAGGTCTTTGCATAAAAGAGTTCGATTTTCCATGTTAAAGCTATTGTACAACAAGTTCAGCTTCTATTGAGGCTCATGTTCATTTTGTCACCATTAATGACTGAAGTCTGTGCTTAGTTGAGTACATGCTGTCATAAAACCAAAGGAGACAAACACTAAGAAATTCCTAAATTCCTATTTAGATTTCAAAAGATTCTACTGTTCACTCAGAGTCTGTTCTCAAAATACCGCGCCACTTCAGTGCAGTGTCTGGGACACTCTGCTGCTTCGTACGTGCAACCTGTGTGAAAGAGCTGACCAGTTAACATGGGCACCAAAATGAAAAGCAAGACTTGCCGCGTTGCTCACTCCACGCAGATGCAGTATGTGTGAACTGGGCCTTAGACTTTTGACCCCACTGTATGAGCGTGTATGTGGGCATGCATTTTGGTGTGTTACCTTGGTGTCAGTGTCTGAGCTGAGTCTGGGACTGGAGGCAGAGCGGGTCATGCCTGCGGTACTCTCAGGGCCCCGGAGAGTTTCAATGGCTGCATCAGAGGTCCCTGAGGAGCCCAGCGTCACTGAGCTCCCTGCCTTACGCAGAGATGTCCTCCACGAGCCTGGAGCCTCACTCACTGCAGCCCGTGGTGGCTCCGACTATACACATACAAAAGTATTACCCTTTAGCAGTGACGTACCAGTCTCTGATAAAACAAAGTGTATTTGTTTATTCCAGTTAATTTCACAGTCAAAGGACTGAAACAGAATTAAATTATCCAGGACAGTTAAGCACCAGGTATATACTGCATTCAAATTTTCTGTTTGTCTTAGCATCCGCACTAACAAAGTCCCTTTTACTGGCTTTAATATCTTGAAAACTGATAACTTCAAAGTAATAAACAATGCAAATATGTGGACATGGAGCATTAAAAGAGGCTCAGCATTTTCAGTCTGGCCCTGGTTAAATGACCTCATCCTCACACCATACACGCATGGGGTGATCATGCTCTAACGTCGTAGTGCTCTCGCTCACCTTTTTAACCTGGTTTGCTGTAGCACTACCTGCTGTGGTGGTGGTGGTTATAGGAGCGGCACTGTTACGTTTGTTGTTCAAGTTGTTAATCAGCTCCCTTGTTTTAGCTTTTTCTGAAATAGGACAAAAAACATTTTACAGCCCACTTTACATTTTGCATGTTTCCCCCCAAAATATTAGCACCAAAAATTCAAATTTTCAGAATCCTTAGTGCTCATTTCTGGTCACCTGATTCAGCATCGCTCTCTGATTCGCTCTCTTCTTCTGAGCTGGAACTGCTGGAAGCTTTTGGTGCAGCAGCTGGGCGGTTCTGTGCATTTGGCTCCTCCTCCTCCTCCTCAGTGGGTGGTGTTTGGAGAGCAGGTGGTGGGTGCTTCTCTCTCTCGTGCAGAGTGATCTTCTCCTTGCTGCTCATACGAGAGATGGACGTCCTGCAGGCGCAACAGAGCCGCCGGAGAACGAGTGACATGCAAACCAGCCAATAGGTGAGGGCAACACAACAGGTGAAGCAAATGAGTGAGCAGGCATTTTGAAAACAGTGAGGCAGGTATTGGCGTCCCATTTCTGATTCATCACATTAACCAAGATCAGGTCAAGCATGTAATGTTTGATTTTCAAATTATTTATAGGTTGGGATACCAATACATTGTGTAAATGTGCTAAAATGTCCAAACAGAAAATTTCCCACATAAAAGCATATACAATCTTTAGCATTAATGGTATATTTCTTCAAAGGTAAGAAGAAAATAAAATGTGTACTTTACACCTACACGAGTTTCAAGAAAAAGTTTTCAAGAAAAGCAATTTATCTATAGGTCACTCAGTTATCGTTGTTTTCTTTCCCACCCACTTATCTGTCCATGGATCCAGCTATGCGCTAAAGCAGTCACATTATATCTGTGTTTTTTGTTTAAACATGCAAACTGAATATTGTGTCAATTTGTGAGGCCAGAGCCGGTGAAATAACATGCAAACCACATCTGAGACACACACTGTCTATATGTATGTGTGTTACCTGCGAGAACGAACTGGTGCTACAGAGATGGGTGGGCTGGTCTCAATGACAGGAGGCTGAATCTTCTGCTTCTCTGTACGCATCTGGACAGTTACACAGGATATCAGAATACTACAGTAAAATGAACTGCTCAAACTGCCCTTCCCCCACACCCTCCAAAAAACCCTCATAATCTCACTAGGATTCAGCAGCTTTACAGTAAGCCTTCTATGTAATTAACTGCCAAGAAAACAACAGAAAACAGTAATTTAATAAACAGCGACTGTGGTCCTATTGTGTGTAGTCCTTATATGGCTTCTAGGTTGAGGAGTGTTGCCCTGCTATAACTCACTGCGCTGTGTGCACTATGGCTAGCTGCTGGCTTTCAGAATGCGTTCCAGCTCAGATAACCTTTTCTTGGAGTGAAAGTGGTCTTTGAACATAAACCAGAGAAAGAGGCGATAAGATAGCACTTCCCATGTGGTACACACCACACACACACACACACTTACTGCATTTTGTTTTTTCTGCAGCTCCTCCAACATATCAGCTAGATTCTCATCAGCTACATCAAGGGCAGTCTGACCCTATGGAACAAAAAAAGGCACCTTAACACCACACAAAAGAAAAGAAAAAGAGAGAAACAAAAAAAAGAAATTGAGAAAGAGAGATAGCGAGAAAATCTCCTTACCACATTATTGACAGCGTTCATGTCACACATATGCTCTGTGAGGAGAGTGCAGGCCTCCTCCTGCCCCCAGTGAGCAGCCGCATGCAGAGGGGTCCAGCCATCTGAGTCTCTACTGTCCACATCCAGCCCACACTGCAGCAGCACTCTGCCATGGTAACAAAGAACTTTATAACATGTTCTCAGCCAAGAAAAATCAAATGTACAATTTTCTTTAAGCTAAAAAACTTTAGGCGCAACCTTGAAGCCTGAATTTTGTTCATTTTTATAGATAACAGTAGGTGTGTGATGATTTCTGCGTCATTGGAGGGGTATAAACTGCTGTTACACTATAAAGAATCAAATCTGCCAAACCAGGGAGAATCCTTATTTCTGGGGAACTGACTTTTTTTTTTTCTTCTTGCATGCAGGTACCCAAACATTTACTCAGCCTATTAAACGTGATAAGTTATAATTATTTGACCTATTTTCTATACTTTTTAAATTATTGGGTCTAGTGAAAGTGCCTCATTCTATTGGCAAATATATTTACTAGTTTCAAGAAATAAAGCAGACAATTCTGCTTATGTTAAAAAAACAATATTAGAAATTAGTAAAAGTATCTGCCGATGACCTGGAATAATGGGCACTCACTTGAGCACTTCGATGTAGCCTTTAGCAGCAGCTACATGGAGTGCAGTGGCCTGAGTGTTGGGGTGAGGAGAAAGTGCGCCACTTCCTGACAGAACAGCCATGGCATCCTGCATCATCACCCTCTCCTCCTCCTTCCTCGCTCGATCCACATCCACACCTGAGACAGAAGAGGGAGGCAAGAGTTTAGTTTACATAACCTACTCTTCAAACCATTTATGACAATGTTGCAAGTAAAATCTGGGTTAAAGAATTAAGTGTTTAAGGATCATTTCAATTTTGATCTGTATGTTACACAAAACCCTCATAACGTGTTACAAAACCCAAGACACCAACATCTGGAGTTTAAAAATATATTTAAAACAGACTGAAACAAATGTATGGAGCGAATGTGTAATATAAACTCTCTCAATTTACCATGGCAACATTTTAAAGACTCAAAATCTTCCTAAAACCATACACAGATAATCCTTTCGAGGTGCATGACTTAAGCCTATGAGTGATCACATCAAAACAATGTATACAAACACTGAGCCATATGTCTTTTGTAAACGCTTGGAATGGTCAAATGTTTGAAAAAGCTCTGAATGGGTTTTATGGAGAACATAGCGATGTCTTCGGTCTGTAAACCTTTGTGCTAAATTTAGCTCCAAGAGCCATTGGACAGAGCTGGGTCACTTGGACAAAAAAACACTCAGCGCAACAACAGAATTAAATCTTGGATCAAATCGAATGAACAGTGCTGAGATTTGGCATGTCTCTACATGCTTACCGGAGCTGCCCATGATTTAGAGTTGGAGATATTAAAAAACTGGATGTGCATTTGGATGTTTATTTTGGGATATACACAGAATAAATAAATAAACAAAATGTTAAACTGAAAACTTCTGCTGTGCAATTGCAAACTGTAATGGAAGCTTTTTGGCCAAGCTGCAGCATAACTGCCTATTTGGCCCTTTGTGGACAGCCTGAGGTTTACAGTTACAAGGCAAAAGAGGGACATATAAGAGAGGGAGGGGAGAGAAAAGAGACAGAAAGCAAAGAAAAGAAACAGAGAAAAGAAAGCAGGGGTATTCTGACAATGCATGACGGGTGTGGAGAGTAAATCAACATGCTTTCAAACACTCAGCTTTTAAAAGATTTCCGCTGAATCAAAAACTCACATCTTTTCTTAGAACTGCATATCTGCCTGACCCATACACATACCAACATGCACATGCCCTTCCAATTGTTTATCTATAACAGGAAGTTCCTTAAATACAGGGGCAGGCCCTCCATTTATATAATTCTTTGAAGCTGGAAAAGCAAGCAGCCTTTCAATACAATCCAAAATACACAGATCAGAAGACCACTGCTCTGGCAGTCAATACAACAAGGTGTGTTTGTCTAAACCTGATTACCAGTCTCTCTGAAGCTCTAATGAGAGCACACTCAGCAGGTGAACATCATACGGCAATCAAATCAAAGAGATGCTCAGTGTGTGCGCGCATGTGAGTGAGTGAGCAAGCGCGCGTATGTGTGTGTTTGTCTGTTGACCCCTCTCGGTGTATCTGTTGTTTTTTTTTGCCATTCCCTGTTTTCCTCTCTATTAGTCTTTCTTTTGCAGATCATCTCAATATAAAGGCTCTCTTTGTTCCACTTCTTTCTCAAACCATGTCTTTTATCCTTGCTTCCTCACTCACCCTGTTTTTTGATCTCTGCCTTCAGCAGTCTCTCCATGGCATCCTCTGTGGCCACATCCACAGGAAGTTCCCCCTCACTGTTCACTGCTCCCACCTGAGCACCATGTTCTATCAAGTACCTACAACAAGGACACAGAAAGTGATGTTCCTAACTTGATTCGATACATTTTACACAGCAAAAAAATACTACTTACTATATGTAAAATGCAACACTAAACGTTTTCTGTTAATTCAATCAATAAAATGCAGTATTTTTTTTCTCAGAATGCAATTTATATACTTGAAACAAGCACACATACACTAATGTGATGTACAAATGCACCCACAAATACACAGAGCAACATGGCAAGCACACACACACACACACACACACACACACACACACACACACACACTGACTTAGTGATCTGGATGAAGCCACAGGAAGCAGCTGCATGGAGAGGTGTCCAGCCCTCGTTGTCCCCTCTGTTCACATCACTGCCGTTCTCCACAAGAAATTGTACCATCTCAGCATTCTCATCAATACAAGCCTGCAGGGAGAGAAGAAGAGGGAGGAGGAGAGAGAGAGAACGAGAGAATGAGTTTCAGGTAATATGCTCATTACTGAAGGTGGTTGACTTTCTTTTCAGGCAGATGTGCTGCGGTTCTCCAGATAGCATTAAGCATATAGATTCATGTATTGGTCATATATTAGTTACTAGTGATGTACATTTGCATGTAAACGTTTGAAAACTCCCAGTCAAAGTAAATGTATTGTTGATTTTCTAAGTGAAAATAAGTGAACACAACTTCTACAGAGAACATACTTCTGCATATTTTAATGCTCAATTACTGTTTCTTTGCTGAGTTTAACTTATTGGGGGGGAAATAAATACAACATAAAATATTAAATGCACCATAACTTCCACAGGCCACATTTTGTCATGTTTTATGTAAACGGTAATTACGCATTAAAATGTGCAGAAGTGTGTTCTCTGTAGAGCGCTCAATTATTTTGACTCAGAAAATCAATAATTGATAAGGGGTGTCCAAAGTTGGTACGCTGTGCAAAATGTACATAAAAACAAAATGCAGTGATGTGCAAATCATTTAAACCCTATATTACGACACTCTGGAAGCGTTTGGGAACTGAGGACACCAACTGCTGTAGCTCTGAAAGTGAAATGTTTTCCCATTTTTGCTTAACATAGGATTTCAGCTGTTCAACAGTTCGGGGTCTCCTTTGTTGTATTTTTCATTTTACAATGTGCCAAATGTTATCAGTGGTGACAGGTCTGGACTGCAGGCAGGCAGTTTAGCACCCGGACTCTTTTACTACAGAGCAATGCTGTTATGTAATACATGCAGAATGTGGTTTGTCTTGCTGAAATAATCAAGGCCTTCCCTTAAGAAGACGTCGTCTGGATGGCAGCATATGTTGCCAAAACCTGTATGTATTGTTCAGCATTAACGGTGCCTTCACAGATGTCCACGTCACCCATGCCATGTACACTAATGCACCCCCATGTCCATGATTTTCAAATAGAATTTCAAATGTTGATTCGTCAGACCACAGCACACTTTTCTATTTCCCCTCAGTTCACTTTAAATGAGCTTGGGCCCAGAGAAGGTGGCAGCATTCCTGGATCCTGTTTATATCTGTTTTCTTCTTTGCGTTTAAGAGTTTTAATTAGCATTTGTGGATGCAGCGCCAAACTGTTTTCATAGACAGTGTTTTTTCAGCCCATGCAGTGATTTCCACCCCAGAATCATGTCTGTTTTTAATGCAGTGCCACCTGAGGGCCCAAAGATCATGGCCAGCAAATACTGGTTTTTGGCCTTGTCCCTTGCATACAGGAATTTCTCTAGATTCACTGAATCTTTTAATGATATTATGCACCGTAGATGATGAAAAGCAAAAGTTCTTTGCAATTTTACATTGAGAAATGTTATTCTTGAATTGTTGCACTATTTGATCGTGCCGTCTTTATATTCTCATATCCTCATATTTACTTCTAATAAACTCTGGGATGCTTTTTTATACCCAATCATGTTATTGACCTGTTGCCAATTAACCACCAGGTGTTTTTTTAAGCATTACATGACTTTACCAGCCTTTTGTTGTCCCCGTCCCAACTTTTTTGGAATGTGTTGCTGGCATCAAATTCAAAAAAACAAATATTTTTCAAAAAACAATAAAATTTCTCAGTTTCAACATTTGATATGTTGTCTTTGAAGTATTTTCAATGAAATATAGGGTTTAAATGATTTGCACATCATTGCATTTTGTTTATATTTATATTTTTCACAGTGGCCCAACTTTTCTGGAAATGGGGTTGTAATATACCCTATTACTTTCTGCTCTGACCATTCTACTACATCAAAACACGCTTTAATATGTCTCTCTACAAAAACTCATTTCCTTCCTACAGCCCCGAAATCTCACATAAAGGAAAAAAGGGAAATGCTATGAGAACCACTCTCACGGGATCATATTAGATGCCATATATATCCCACACTGAAGTAAGAGCATAGTAATCTTTGGAGGGCAGCATTTGCTAATAAAATTAGCTGAGTTCTGAGTAATTTGACTGAGACCAAATGCCAAAGATTTGTGTAATAAAAATAATAATCAACATTGACTTGTATGGTGTCCAAACAGGGCTGGGAGAGACAGGCACAAATCTTTCTAATTAAAAGATAAAGCACCGCATTTAGTGGCTTGTTTAGTATTGTATCAACAAGACAGTATGTTTCAGAAGATTTAATAGGTTCATGAAGGTATTCCAGTGTTTACAGAGTCTGCCAAGCTGTCATCACCTGCTCATTTCTTCGACCACAACACTGGCTAAACTGGTACATTTGAACACAAAACACCATCAGAGTTAAAATACCAAAAACATTAACTGCATCCAAACCTAACCAACAGCATGAGCATTCCATCTTACAACACACAAGAATAGAAGTTAATTACCAAAAACAAAAAAAAAAATGCTAAGGCTCGCACCTTTCACAATATTTACATTAATTAAGACACTGTTAGTTTTTGCTGCCTGAATTATGACAGTTGAGAACTGAAAATCATATCAATCATTAAAGCACTGTTTAATTAAAATTACAGATGTCTGTTTAATTACCACATAAAGTTGTATCAGATATATCGGTTAAAATCGGTCCTGGTCACACAATTTTCAGATCATTCTCCCCATCGGTAATTATTGGCAATTTCCTCTCACTACTGGTCTCAACTTCAGCACTTCAGTTCCCAATCTAGGACGGTGAGGTTAAGACACGCTATCCCCACAAGATCTGCATCCACTATTACATGCAATGTCATAGGACAGCTGAATGTGCTTTGGAGCAGAGCACTGATTGCGCAGCTCTGCATATATAAGTTAACTGGATATTCTTGCACTGTATTGATAGAGAGAGAGGAACTAAACCTTCACCACCAATGAGAACCTTTAACTCTGCTTGCCTGAACACTTAGTCACACATGGCTGTAGCATTGGTGATGGGCAACTGTGCCATTCTGGAGCCCCACTGCAGTTGTACAGGCTTACTTTGAACTGCGTGCCATATAAAATCGTCATGTAGTCTGCGCGTATCCCATCTGTGGACAATGCTGGCCTCTGCAATGCCTGACACCAGCAGTATTACGAGACTGTGCCACGTGGGAGAGGACATGCACAAAGGCATTCGGCATTTCTCGAGAATCCAAGCAATTCTATAAAAAAAGAGCGATTCAATGATATACAGATATAGTTTTTTTAAGGCATACTGCTCACTCCTACTCTGGAAGAGGGAAGAGAACAAATAAATTAGGGATGCACCGATATGGGAACTTCCAATCCCACCATCAGATATTTTTAATGTACACATCTGCCACTGCTGATACTGATACAGAAACACATAAAATGTAGACACTGGGACTAAATCCACTTGAATCTCCATTACAATGAAACATTTATTTATGTGGGGTTAAAAATGTGCTAAAATGCACGTTAGCACCATCGCCCAACATCATCTAAACAAACTGTTCTTCTGGAGTACAATAAATAAGCCATCAAAAATAAGTTGGTTAAATCTAAACATCTGTCCAATGGCAATAATTATTTTCAAGCCAACATCTGCCAGTACTGATTATGATATTATCGTGTATCCCTAAAATAAACTGAAGTGGTAAAAAGGAGACCACAACATTACAATACAATAGAGGTGGGCGATATGCCAAAAATATAATTTCACGATATTTCAAGAATTTTTTTACATTTATTTTTTCAGACATCTGATCAGTTGGAACTGAGAACAAGAACCAGTAGTGCTACATTTAAAAAAATGCTATCAAGAACTGTGAATACAATGACTTTTATTCAATATTTTGCATGTTGTGTTGCACTAGATCCAGTTAAATCTGGACTAACTTCGCTCTCTTTATAATGAAACATGCATTTGGTCAGTGTCATACAAGTATTGACGATATCTATGTTATATTCAGAAAAGCATATTGTATTGTATTTTACTGTGACATAATTTAATTCCAACAACGATATATATTGTTATATTGCCAAGCCCTACAATACAATAAGCACGATTACAGAAATAAACCTTCTATTCCTGCTAATGATAATGTCAGACATCAGAGCACCAGTACAACTTCCCTGGCTTGATGCTGGTTAAATACAGCCCTTGCCCTCAGTCTTTGCCCTTTCGTGTAGACTCACACACTTCCACAGAGAAACAACTGCCCTTATCAGTTGTGGATAGACTCTAGCCTGGAATAAGTCCATATACACTAATCAGGACTTCCATGATGATATCACCATAACAACGTCTTTAGAGACACTGCAGCATGGGAAGTCCATATTTCCTCAACTCTATTCCCCCGAGTACCCCCCAGTTCAACTTCTCAAATGCTTGAATGCTTCAGCTAGCAGTCAGCAGCATGAAAAGCAATTAGTCAGTGACATGTTTTAAAGCTCCAATCAGGAGCTGCTGCAAATGGCGGATCAGCTCTCAGTACAGAGGCTTCTAAACAAAAACCACCACACGACTGTGAGTGCTAAAATAATATGGAAATGTGCACATCTGTTCGTAAACACGCAGCAAAGTCCTTGAGTGGCTGTTCTTCTGTTTTGGCACTGCTTGATTTACACTTTTAAAGTGCCCGTCTGGGAGATTTTGACTGCCTGCCCACCCACCCACACACCACCACCACCATCCACATGTGAATAACTCAAAACAGCATCGCTCACATGGCTCTCGCTCCACACCGGCCACCATCATCAGAACTTTTCAACAGGTTTGAATGGACGTTTTCCAGAGCAAAACAGAACATCCAAGCTATCTTGAACAGACTGAGGTCACTTGACTGGTGATCATTTGAAAGAAGAAAAGTATCCAGTTTTACAGAGAACAGCTATAACAGCATGTATCTTTAAATATTTACAGTGGCAAGTGGAATAAAGTAAACTACACCCAGCGGCGTTATTCCTTGAGGACACGCGGCTCCTATAGAAAACTCTCTGTGCCATAATGTTCTCTTTCTCTC